TCCCTCCAAAGTTTTATTCCTTTTTTAGACAGCAGTTTAGCTATCTCTCTATTTCACCTTAATCGTAGAGGCTAATATCTATTAAGTACTTACTATGTGCCAGGAATTATCCTAAGTACTTTATATCTTGTAACTCATTTAATTCTGAGGAACAATATGTGCTACGTACTCATGTCAATCCCATTTTACAGATTAGGAAGGTGAAAGATAGAGAGGAGAGAAATTTGTCCACCGTAATGTAAAATAACATTTATCCTATTGCAGTCATTCTCCGGGAGTCTATGAAGGTGCTTTGCTAAAGACTGTTTTTCTCTCTAAAAGGAATTCTGCCACCACCTTTTAAATAATGCATACTGTTGAATAATACATATTTCTATCATCAGTAAGTGTATGGGAAGGTACAAGTTCCCTTGGCCTGGCTCCTTTACTCAAATTATCGGTCCTGAGGACTCTGACCATAGGCCTCTATAAATATCACAGAAAGGGATGCTAGTCTCTCACCTCAATGTGTAACCAAGAGAAAGGGGCTCATTCTGCTCGCTGTAATCCAGTGTCAATTGCAAATGTGTCAGTGGTTGAGAAAGGAAAGTTTATACGATTAGCTAGCATAATCAGAAGATAGTGGACTAGGGTCCTAAAGAACCATCTTAAAATCATACAGAATCTTGAGCCAGTCATATAGGGGAAATGGGCAGGGAAGGAGGGGGTTTAGGGATGTTGATCATCCAGTGTGACGAACTTCAAGACACCACATTATCTCTTTCTTCTGACTTCTGTGATGGGTACCAACACAGAGTTTTTCTTTCTGGAGGTCATCATGTTTCTCGAGAACTGAGAGAACAAAGTTATTGTCTTTTCACAGCTGGAGATATGCGTAAGCAAGAGTCATAGAACTGACAGGTTATGTATTTTGCAAAAGAGAGGTGCTTAATCATCTAGGCTACGTGTAGGCTGGAGTGCATTCTCAGAGACTAGTGAGTCAGGATCACAGTTACGATATTTCTTTCTTTCCCTAAGATGGCTTCCTTCATGCTAACTTAAGATCTAGCTGTTACAAATGGTTTTCCTCCCTATGTCACTTTATGCTGGAGTTGACACATGTTAACTTTGAAAAAGGGTTGACATTTACCCAAATCTCCTTGAGATATTAAAACATCAAGTATTAAAATTCATAAATGTTTGACTCAGTTCTAATTTCTGGCTAGAGCTTAGGGTAAGGAGGGTTCTTAATAATATGTCATGTGTTCTGACTACTCGGCCTTGGATGTCCTCTGCCCACCTTCTGTCTTCCGTGTTCTCTCACAGAGCTGGCGAAAGGCTGGGACAGCCAGTGAGAAGGCACCTGGGAGCTGTGTGCATGGTGTGCCTGTGCCCTCTGATGAGACCCTCCCCGTACCCTTTGGGCCCAGAATGTAGAAAGCCTGCCCAGAAAGCAGCCCCAATTGACCTCTTTCCCACTGTAAATAGCTTCTTGTACCCACTATCATGCCTGCTATGCATTTATACATTCCAACCCATGAGGGAGAGGACAGCTTTTTGTTAACTCTGGGTTTTCCTTAACCTTAGTCTTCTGTTTTTAGAGGCCATGTACTCTTGTATATGTTATTCATTTACTCATCTGTGCATCAAACATTTATTTTTTGTTATGTTCCAAGTTCTATTCTTTTTAAAAATCGCCTATTTTTATATGATAAACATAAGTTTAGGTATTTTGAAAGTGTGTTGAAATCTTGAAATTTGACAAAACTCTGGATACTTTGTAAAGAGACTGACTAACTTTCTTGTAGAAGTTAGATTACCAATAAACCAGATCTGCCTCTGTTTCTAGAGCCCCCATAGTTGAAACTCCCAGGAATGGTGGCCACGTTTTCTTTTGTGGATTCAACTTCAAAATTTTATCTTACTAGTATCATCTAGAAATGAGTTAGTTGAGGTGTACAGTTTTTTTGTCTTTATATATTTCTCTGACTTTTACCACTTAAGCAACAGATCGAATAATCAATTCCCAGGCCTAGAATACTCTTAGCAGTAGACTTAAATAAGAACTATAAAAGTTGTGTAAATCTGTTACATGTGTAGCCAATGGTAATATAATTTGCTAGTTCTGCCTTGGGAACTAAATGGAAGTAAGGGAAGATGCATATTGATAATTTTCATGACTTTGGAATTTTAAATAAATGGGAACAAGGTTTCTCATATTTTCTTCCTTGCAGTTTTTTCTTATAATTTTATAAATTAAAACTTAAATTGATATTTTACAAGTGTTAAGAACACTCTCAAATAAAAGAATTGCTATTCTAAACTATTGAAAAAAACAACTGTCTCGGTGATAACCTGAGGTCTTGTGCTTTCATAAAATGACAATTAGGTTCATGTAATGTACTTTAATAACTATCACAAGCATTTTAAAGAGAAGTAACATGATATAACATAGAATTTGGAGAGAGAAGAATTAAGTTCCTGAGCCTGCTACTCACCAGCTATATGATCTTGGAAGAGTCACCAGCTTATACTGGATGAAATGATACTTTAATAGCTAGCACACTTGTTAAGTCTCACTTTCTTCATTAAAAAAAAAAATCACATGGTGTTGAGGATTAAGTGCTGTTAAGATGTTTGTGATGTTGCTTGTAAAATTACAACATGCTAATCAAATTTAGGGTGCCATTGGGATATAATTTTGATTCAAGGAAGTTTGGAAACCTTCTACTTTGGATCCATTCCTTGTGAAGCAATGCCCCAGCCATATGAATTTCAGCCACGGTCCTGGAATTCCAGGGTCTCTGGAGGAGAGGGATGGCTGGGAAATGTAGACTCCCTGGAAGATGTGCCCTTTCAAAGGACCCCCAGGGAAATGGCTCATTTATGTGACTTTCCAAACTTTCTAACCTTAACTTCCTACCTTACTTGTTTTGCCTTAAGAGAATTCCAACCATTAAGACAGAAAAACACAACTTAGAAAGGGAAGGAACCATATCTACTTACTCACTAGACCTCTGAATTTGGGGAGAAATGAAGAAGACTGGAAGAGTCTTGCCTTTGTGAGTTCATCGACTAGTAAAAATCCTCTGAATGTGTGTGTTGTTGTTGTTGTTACTGTTGTTGTTTTGGTGGGGGAGTCTATAAACCTCATGGAACTCCAGCATTTAAGAAATGCTGTTCTAAACAAACGAACAAATCACTTTGAGAGAAGCAAGTAGTCATGACCAAGACTCACTTGTTATATTCCCCAGACCCTAACTCCAGGCATTCTAGAAGGTATTCTTTAAAGCAAAATAATATTAATATAACATGACTGAAATCTTAGGATGTTATAGCTATAACCTTAGGAAAGTACGAACCAAGTACAGAGATAAAAACGGCTTGGATTAAACCAGTGGTGGCAATATTTGAGAGTAGGTTAAAATATAAATGTCATAAGAGGTTTTGTAATGATGGTTTGTACATTGTTTTGGCTACTTTTTAAGGTTTCAAAGTGTTCAAAAAAAGCAGTCATAGTGGACTGGAAACTATATTTTGAATTGGTTAAGAAAATGTAATTTAGTTTTTAATCAATCTTTAAATGTTGAATAAAAATCAGTTTTAAAGTTTTATTTACTGGATATGTAGGTTTAAAATTTGAACATTAAATGAAATAAAGAAAAAGAAAAGAAGTAATGCTCCAGAACCACACTTATTTAAAATTCATTATTGTAAAAGCTTTAGCCCTCTCATTGGGAATTAAAAATCCTATTCATGTTTGATTCATGTGCTTTTATCAATTAAACTGAGAATACCTTCCCAATCATACTTCTGTGCTTAAAAGAACACTGATTATAATCATCACTAGATATTTAAAGTCATTTGTGTGTACCTCCTTTGTATTAAATCCCTGAACTTTTTATTTTTCCCAAGACTTTCTTATGAAGCATAAATGACAATTTATTTTTAAATGAAGCAGCCATATTTTAACTTCATATTTGAATCCCACTCTGGTGGTTGGCAATTGATTCATCTATCCTGCTTAATTGATATCTTGCATTAGACAAAATGAGAGTTTCAAGTGTGGACCCTAGAATCTAGCTCTCTGGTTCAACACGACCTGCTCCCTTTTAGCAATTGTGTGACTTGGCCACATAACTTAGGTTCTCTGTATAGCAGTTGTCTTTTTCTTAACAATGGAGGGAATTTTAGAGGAGAAAATGGGATAGTATATGTGAAGGGCTAAATCCAGTTCCTGGCATATAGTAAGCAAACACTTTAATGAGTGGTTGCTATTGTTATCATCCAAAGAAAAGGAGCTCATTTCTCCCGGTTTATACATAAGAGCATTAAAAAAATTCACACCAGACGCACTGAGTTCCAAGAAAATGAGCAAGCTTCAATTTCACAAACCAACACGGTGATGTGGGGTACATATAACATAAACTCTATTTCATTGGCACTAATAGAGGGTCAGCTAAATCCTAGCATAGCACTGGGGGGACACAGAGCCCAATATGTTTTTTCAGTTAATGAGATAATTTTCTAAATTAAGCTCACATCGCTATATCATTTGAAAGAATTCTGCCATTTCTTTTTTTTCTTGACCATGACCCTATGAAGAGCAAGATGCTCTAGCAAATGTTGGGTTTCTGAAAATGAATGGTTACTCGTCATTATTTCTAATCCATTTGCTCTTGTTTTCATTCTTGCATCAAACATTTCAGCACATGTTGTGGGTATGGCCCATGATGTGACTGCACTGGGGTCAGGGGAAGAAGGAAGGCTGTGAAAAAGATGGCATTTATAAAACTATCCAGAGAAACTCCTACTGAAATCCATGTAAGTTCCCTAGAAATGACCAGACTCAGGCCCGCCCATGAAACTGTGTGATGAGACCATGAAATAAAGCTCTAGATCCAGCAAACGTGTTGTTTTCCACTAGCTCGCCGATGTGCAGATAGCCCATGGAACATGGGCCTTTTAGATGTGAATCATAAGTTCTGAACCATTATTCTCCCTGTTGTCTTTCTTTGTAGGCATATGATGGTTTAAGCTACACAGCTGCCCGCCTTGCCAGTGTGTGTGGAAGACAGCAACTCACTAACCCCATCACCTCCACAGGAAACAGCCTCATTGTGCGATTTCAGTCTGGCTCTTCCAGACAGAGCAGGGGCTTCCGAGCTCGCTTCAGGCAAAGCAAGTACCTGTGGGTCTCCCCAAGGCACAGGCCACCTGTTCTTAAGTGCCCCTCTTGGTGCTACAATAAAATGAGACCAGTCCTCAGAAATTGGTCCCAGCATTCTACTTAACATGCAACAACTTAAATAGAAAAAAGGAACTATGATTTGCAACTGTTCCAACTGTTGATCCTTTAAATTTACCACTGTTGAACTGTTAGATGATGCTAACTTCCTTTGGATCTGTGTATCTCTCCAACAAGTTTTCAGAATAATACTTAAAAATACCTTTACTACTAGAGACACTATAAAAAAGTGTTTATCCAAATTCATTCATTCTATTTTATCCATCTCCTATTCATTCATAGGTAAATTATCTAGCATTTATCCAAGGTTTTACCCTAGGAGGAGATATACAGCTATCAATTACAAGACTTGCTTGTACTGTGGAGTAAGATTTTAACCCTCGAGGTAGTGGATTCCCTCATTTCTGAATCCTGCCATTGTCCACCTGAAGAATCAGTGCTGTTTCCCATTGTTTCTATTCTAAAATCACCATGTCTCTGTTCTTCCTCCTAGCTCTTCCCCCCAATGCCTTTCATCTGGCACTCTTAGAGATTAACCCTTCATCCCACGGTCAGAGATGGAACCCAGAGCTGAAGGGGTTGTAGGTTGTCTTCAATATGCCTCTGATTTTTATTCAGATGCTTGTCATCCTTCCAAATAAGTTGAGTCTATTTAGTCATTTAGTCTGTTTTGGGGATTTGATTGTATTCTATTGTAAAGAGCCTTGGCTAGGGATAGTTTCCAGATCCAGGTCTCCCCAAGACACACTGTAGACTTTGGAGCAAGAAGGTCTGCATAAATCAATCACTCTCCATGCTTTCAAAGAAAGAGCAGTTTCTTAATATTCTTTTTTCATGTAATTATTCACTTATGTTTTGCTTCATGGTAATAAAAGGTCCCCAGTAGGTCTTATCTGGACTATTGTTAACAGCCTCCTGAATCTCTCCCACCTTTTCCCCTTCTTCCTCCAAAGTCAACTCACAAAAGCCCTGCTCTGATCATGCTGTTGAGTGTTCCAATGTCTGTCCTGGCTCTGCACTGCCTAGAGAATGGAGCCTGAGCTTCTCTGGATGTTACCCAAGGGCCCTGGAACCTGCCCTGATCTCTTTCCAGCATCACCTCTGACGCCCTTCAAGTGCCTGATGCTTCAGCCAAGTCTGTGTAGATGCAGCCCTTACCCCCTCTGTATCCTTGCTCAGGCTGCCTTCTCCCTGGGCTCCTCTTCCTCACCCCCAGTTCCTCCTTCAGCCACTGTCCCCTTTGTGAGATGTGTCTTATACTCTCCACCTGCCAACAGACTATCCCTCTTAGGAGCTCCCATAGAGCTGTTCACTTCTCTGGTAATACACAGCCGTCCTTATGAAGTCTTGTTCAATTGACTATTTGTTTTCCTAAAAAAAGTCATTGTCCATAAAGAGATTATCCTTATACCTATAATTTATGAGTGGGCAATGTAAGTGAATCAATGCCAGAGTTTTGTTTGAATGATTCAGGCAATTCACAGCCATTTAATCTGCTGTTCTATGCCACTCCCCGCTTCCTGTCATTGAAGAATATTGTTATAAACGTACAGTGTGTTCCACTTTCTCGTAGTTTACGTGCAGCTTCCTTGGCAGAGTACTTCCTTGGCACGCCTTTCAGAAATAAGGAAAAATCAGTTATGTTTTCATTCATCAAATAATTGTTGTGTACAGTCAGTGGAAATCAAAAGTATATGACATCTGTGTGTGTTTGTGTGTTCCTCAGCCTGTGGAGGCTACATCCTCACCGACTCATTTGATACTATATCCTCTCCATTGTTCCCTGCCAAGTACCCAAACAATCAGAACTGCAGCTGGATAATTCAAGCTCAGCCTCCATGTAAGTAACAAAAACAAAAAAGAAAAGGAAGCCAGGATGGATGGTCTCTGTGGGAAAGTCCATCTATGACTAATGTTCTTATCTCCTTGGTGGTAACAATTGATGGCCTTCCTTTTCTTTTTTTGGAAGTCCCAATGCCTGATGTGCACGAGAACAGGCATTTCCTAATCTGATAGGAAGTAATTTTTACTGTTTGTTCTTAATTTAAAAATTTTTTTTAAGTTTCAAGGCCTAGCAGAAAAAAAAAACCCTATAACCTTGCTGTATGGACAGGCAGCAAGGTTATTTTGGGGGTAAGCAAAAATAATTGATAAATAAATAGTTTTTGACACGTGTGCCTTGAGTGTGATAGATGTTCAAGACAGTTACTAAATGAATAAATGAATAATAAGAACTATAGACTGGAAAATTAATAACCCACAGTTTGGGAATGCAGTGCCATGAGCGTATTGATCTTCAATCGAAGTGGAAGCTAAATTATAGAACCTGGTCTCTCCTGCAATGCATGTTTTAAAAAAATCCCAGTATAAGCCTGGAAGAAACACTTAATAAGTGCTTACCTTATTTTCTTTGTAGAATCCTAGAATCTTATTTTCTGACCTGGTAGCAATCTGGTGGTAAGGATTACTGTCTACATTTTACAGACAGAGAAAATGAGGAGACCCCTAAGGACTCAAGCAAAATGATTACAAAGAGAGTGGCCCTGGGGCCCTTATGAATCCCATTTCAGATGAGCCCTGCCCTTCCTTGAGGTTTTCAGGAAAAATTTATGATTTCAGACATAATGTGGGAAAGGCATTAAGTTCTCAACTCCACTCTATAATTAACGACCTGTGGGATAATAGGCAAGTCACTTAAGCTAATGAGGCCCCATTAGCTAATCTAAAAAATGAAGAGTTTGGCTTAAATCTTCTCTAACACTTTTCCTAAGGATGTTAAGAGTTAACAGAAAGATATCTTTCTGGACAAGCATATGGTTTGGGGGTTGGTGATGTAATCCTTATTCAGAGAAAGTTGCCAGCCAGCCAGAAACTGAACCTTAGATAAAGAAGCCTCCTGCCTTGGGCCCAGCAGTTTTGCACCTCAAGACAATTTCTAGCGACTTATAAAGTGTTTAGATGAAAGATCTCACTGGTCCAAGGACAACAATAGGAAAAGATCTTATGCTGAAGTTTAGGGATGCTGGCGGAAGAACAAAGGGAAAATGTACCCAGGCATTTGCTGATCTGCAAGTAACTCAAAGCTTTCTTTATAAATGACTCTGAAGCTCCAGAGCCCTGGTTCTAGCATTAAAGTAAAACCTTAAAGTGCTAGCCTATGTGTGCCAGGGAGAACAGAGTCTTATTTATGAGTACAGGTAAAGAATCAGAATTTAAGGAAACTATTCTATTGAGAAAAATGCTTCTGAGAGGAACACAGCAATGACTGATATTAAAGCGTGTAAAGACAATATGTTCCAAGAAGACAGTCCCCGTAGTTCATGGAATGCCCTACCCAAGGGTCCTCTTATTTACCACGACCATCATTGCAGATTCTACAGGCATTTTCGAAAACATTCATTTTGTTGCTCTTCAAAGGAAACCTTTTAGCAGAGCTGTTGGTACTTTCCCTCTAGCCCCAGTCAACCCCTGTGCAAATCTTCAGAATTCCTTGCTTCCGTGCTGGAGAACCCACAGGTAAAATGATCAGAGGTACAGTTTCTCTCCGTGTATGTTTTGTTTGCCAGCACTTTATTAAATAGCCTTCTCTTTTTCTTACAGTCAATCATATTACCCTCTCCTTCAGTCACTTTGGCCTTGAAAGCAGCACATCGTGTACAAAAGACTTTTTAGAAATTTTGGATGGCGGTTACGATGACGCGCCCCTCCGAGGTACTGCAGCGCTCACTCATTTATGTCTGTGGCCTTGGCTGTGTTTTATCTATATGTTTACGCATGTCTGTGCTGCCATTCCAGGTTAGAATGTTTCCCATAAATATGAAGTACAGCATAAGCCAAGTAAAGATGATTATAGGGTAAGAAAGCAGGACTTAATATGAGGTTCAAGAAACTCAGCTTGTTCATATTCAAGGACATGAATAGTTTATATATTAAAAAAAATATATTTAAAAGTTGCAACTACTTTAGATAGTAGTGAAATGTAGTCCATTCCACCATTAGGTAGCATTGTGTGAGAAATTTCTCACTAATGTCTGACCACAGTTCTTATACTCAAATTGAGCATGTTTCTTCGGGTTTTGTCCTCAGTGGAAGCAAAAAAAAATAATGATAATAAATAAATAATCTGCATTTCTGTTTGTAAGACATCCTAGTAAAATTAAAGATTGCTGCTATCTAGTTTCTGAAATGTCCTTAAGCAAAATAATCGCAGATTATTTAAACTTTCTCCATGAGTTTACTCATGTTTGAGCTCTGTCGTCCTGCTTCTCAGCCTGCACAGAAGACAAGCTCCATCAGAGAAGGGGCTTCGTTTTGCTCATTGCTTTATTCCCAGTGCCCAGAACAGTGCCTGAGACAGTAGTGAGCCATTGATGAAAACGCCTGCTCCGTGCACACTTCTGATCGTATTGCTTGTGATTTTGTCTATAAGCATTTGACCAAGGATGAGGGTACATTATTTAACACATACTTATATAGCTCTTATCTTGTGCTAAGTACTATTCTCAGAACTTTATAAATAATACTCAATTAATCCTCAGACCCTTATGATATAGGTTTCATTATTATCAATATTTCCTTTTCTCAAGGGGGGAAACTGAGGCACAAAGAACTTGATTCAGGTCATGTAGCTAAATGGCAGGGCCAGGAGTTGAATCCAGGTATTCTGGCTCCAACATCCACACTTTCCTCGGCCATAATATATTGCTTTTAGGTATTAGCACATTTGTCTGTGCAGGTCCCTACTGTGCTGGAGATTTTAGCATGAAGGACATTTGGAGCCAGGTCATCTATGTTGTTCTTATCTCCCCCTAATGTTCTTTATCATATTTAGAAATCATCTCTCCCATGCTTGTATTTACAGTTTATTTATTTATTTATTTTTTAAAGATTTTATTTATTTTATTTTTTTTCCCCCCAAAGCCCCAGTGGATAGTTGTATGTCGTAGCTGCACATCCTTCTAGTTGCTGTATGCGGGACTCGGCCTCAGGATGAACGGAGAAGTGGTGCCTCGATGCGCACCCGGGATCCGAACCCGGGCCACCAGCATCGCAGCGCGCGCACTTAACCACCAAGCCACAGGGCCGGCCCTACAGTTTATTTTTAATTCTCAGGCATTGTCTTAAACACGGACTCTGATTTAAATGGTTCTCCTAGTAGTGATTTCTTCTGTTTGCTTTGGTCTCTTGTGATTCTAGTAAAGATACGTTTACTAGAAATCATGGCCTATGCCGTTCATTCTCTTCGCTGTTATCTTCATTATTTAGGCCGCTATTGTGGTACCTCCATGCCCCATCCCATCACTTCCTTCAGCAATGCCCTGACGCTGAGGTTCGTCTCTGATTCTAGAGTGAATTTTGACGGTTTCCGTGCTACATACACTGCATCATCATCAGGTAAGAAACATTAGCAAATGGTGCTACTAGGTTAACAGAAGTGTGGTAGAAATCTTTGGTTGTTATTTGGGACTCTTTTACCTACAGAGTTGGGAACTAGTTTCCTGAGATCACCTCTGTAACTAACCTTACCTTCTTCCAAAGTAGGTTAACATACTTGTGAATTCTAACAGTAGTGAACTCTGTGCCGCACATTCTTTATGCATTCGTCCGTTGTTTCCATGTCTTGGCTACTGTGACTAACACTGCCAAAAGTGGACTCTAGAAGCGGAGAGAATTGGTTGGAATGATCTTAGATGACTTGCTTATCAGCTTCTTGTTGTTTCTCCTTCATGACATGTTTGTTAAGGCAGCCCCTGGCTGACAATGCACGATGGCATCTCTTATGGGTGGACAGTCTCCCTGGCCTTGCACTTGGGCTCAGGCAGGGTCTGGATGTTGTCACTGACGCAGGATGGATGGTGGCGTGTGGGCAGGAGGGGAGAGAGGAGCCACCCAGTACTGGGTCTCAGCCAGGAGGATGCTGTTTGTCAACTGCCAGCTTCCTTGTTATTAGCAGTTCAAAGCCATAGAACACCGAGAAGATTTGTGTGTGTGTTTCAGTGTTCTCCTGAGAGGGAAAAGCTGGGATACTGCCTTCTGTTCTAGGCCGGGGTTAAAAACACCATCCTGGTCAGAAATACAGAGTGGTCATAGTATTAAAACAAGTCTTTTATTACATAAAGTTATAGTTACAGGAGAAAAGGCTTTTAGAAAAGAAACTACAGAGATTTTTTCTGATCCATCATAGCTGTGGCTTTTGGTTTTCTATTTTCAGAATCTTTTCCTTTTTATACACGACAGGGAGTTTTTAATGGGAAATGGGAATAGGTTCTCCTTTGATGCTGCTGACAGTTCCCTTCTAGTGTTCTTTCTCCTTTATCTTATGGTGTCTTGTATTCGATCTTTGCCCTGGCACTCATTCTGTTTCTCTTTTCTTCCAGCTTGTGGTGGAACCTTCTACATGGCTGAAGGCACGGTCAACAGCCCTGGCTACCCGGAGGTTTATCCCTCTAATGTGGAATGTGTCTGGAACATTGTCAGTTCCCCTGGCAACCGGCTCCAACTGTCTTTTATGTAAATCCTTTTTTTATGGTGTATTGTTTCAGTGCGAATGAATCTGCAGGAAGGAAGCACTGTTACTAATAGGATGGACAACTAACAGCATATGTGTCCAAGCAACTGTTAGAAAATATGGTGGGAACTTTAGGAAGTCTGTTTCCAAATTTCCTCTGTTTTAGTCATAGTTTGGGTTATAAGTTGCATTAAAATTCTCTCAAGAATAGTTCTAGAGTCCAGCCTAATATTACCAGAAGTAGATGCCTGAGCTCTTGGTGCATCAATCTGTGGAATGTTCGTTTGCAGAGAATAGTAATTTTATCTTTTTTTGAATTAGGACCATTTAGATTCGTCCAGAGAATCACTAACATTCTTTCTTCTGGCAGAAATCTCTGCCTCAATTAAGTCTTCTTTACCCGTATACCTTTTCCCCATCTCAATCCAGCTTTCCTTTTATTTGTACCAGAAGAATGATTTTGTAAGGTTTTTGGAACTTAGTGGTTAATTTGTAAAATCACTCTCATGTTCCTCATTGAACTGTAAGACTTTTTGAATAGGGACTATGGATATGGAATTAACAGTAGGACCCCTCCACATTCTCAGTGGTCTTAGATTAAATTCAACAAGAATGCATTTTCTAGAAGTAGATAGTGAAAAGCACATGGTAAGTAAAATGGGACTTTTTAATCAATCAATAGAGAGGTCCCTATGACATGCCACACTGGAAATGGATGCTTAACCAATAATGAGTGATAAGACTTTGGTATTTAAATTGCCATTTTAAATTAAGTCCTTTATTATATTGTATTACATATTATTGGGCTATGGTAGGGATCACCAATTCAGTTTTTGAAGAGAACACAATGAGTAACTTACTTTTGAGAGAAGAGCATTGTTTTGTGGATTCTGGCCTGTTTATTCAAAAAAGTCTTGCTCGTCCTCCTGGACATGCCGTTCTGTGCATCAAGAATGTGTTGAAAAAGGAAGAGAACAGTCCTCCTTGTGGACCACTTTCAAACGTCTCAAGTCGCTTTCTTTCAGTCCATCAATCAGACAGTGCCTCTTCAGGGTACAAGTCACATTGTGTTAAAACAAAGGCACCCTCTGAGAGCCTGAAGGGCAATGTAAGTTTAAACTGCCACATGGAAAAGAGATTTTGTTTGCTTTTGTCTTTACTAAATGCTCAAAGTTCTGTATGGAAAGAAATCTCTCTGTATAATTTGTACCTGATATATACATATTCCATTACTCACCAAATATTTATTAAGCCCCTGCTGTGGGCTGGGCTCATAGCCAGCACATGTTAACGCCCATGCTAGATGCTATATATATTGTGATGAATAAAACATGATCATTGTCCTTATAATAAAGTCCAAAGTCCTTCACATGGCTTGCTAGGCCTCAGAATTGCCAAATAAAAGGGCTTCTTTTTAGTCTTTTCCTTCTTGGTCTCCGCCACATTCACATCGTTGACCAATCTGACGTTCAGTGGTTGCCAGGAACTGGGCCAAGTACTAGGAATATTTAAGACAGACAGGATCCCATTTCTTGATGAGTTACTGATAAATTAATGTCAAGAAGCTATTTATTTAAAACCTAAAGAGATTCATTTCATCTATAGGGATAATCATATATATATAGGGCCATTGTTGGGATGAAAGATGTCAAATTTAAAATGGATAGTGCAAGGCTGATGCATACCAGATTTCAATGAATGTTCTCTCACTCTGCCATTTCTAAAGTACCTCGTGTGGCAGTTCAGAGTTAAATCCAAATGGACAACACTGGGCTCTCCTTTTAGAAGACAGGAGATAAACACAAAAAGCAAGTTTCATCCATTTTACTGTTTTTTTTTTTTTTTAACATTTTACTGTTTAATGGACACTAAATCCTAGTTATTGTATAGACAAATCTTGATGACTCAGCTTTTTCCTTTCTTATGCATAAGAAGTTAATTTTGATCATTCTGTGTTACTTGCTTGAGTTTTATTTTTAAAATAAATTTTGTAGTATGCAAGATGTTCCTCTTTATGTAAATGGTAATGAGAAGGGCTTTCTGGCAAGGCTGGTGGGTTATTTCTGCCCTGGTCTAAATTATATGCAGATGGATACTTGGAAACTTTCCCCTGGTGTGTATGAGAAGCATATGAGAAGCATATGGAATACGTCAAGTTCTCAAACATGGGGTTTGGATTGTGGACACTGCGGTGAAATTGAGTAGGGAGAAAAACTGGAGAAATTATGGTTGAATCTGCAACAAAAAGGAGGGGGAAAAATAAAACCTAAAGAGGAGTTTTTTGTAAAAGAACTATTTAAAGGAATTAACAGAAAGTATATTTTATGCTTACAGTGCGCTTTTAGAAAGTGATTAATCTTGGTTCAAGAATCAAAATGAGCTAATGAGAAACAGTGATTGTACTATTTTTGTTCCACACCATATTTTCACCAGCGGATCTTAGCCAAAGTGTTTGGAGAGAAGGTAGATTTACTTAAAAAATGTAGCGGCCTAAAACAGACTTCCAAGAACAATAAAGCTTTTTAAAAAGTTTAATTTGATTCTTATAGGTATCGTCTTACCATCATTTCTAATGAATTGTCTTTTCTGACATTTCGCATTGGATTATACCTGTCCGATGCTAAAACAGAAAAGGCTTGCACTTCGTAATCTTCTGGACCATTGGACCAAACTTTAAAGTACATATTGATCGCCTGGGATCTTGCTAAAATTCACATTGTGGTTTAGTTGGCTGGTGGGGCTGGATTCTTCATTTCAAACAAGGTCTTGAGTGATATTGACACTGCTGGATGGTGCACTGCGCTTTGAGTAGAAAGATTTTAGAGGCAATTTTATGTAAATTACCTGGTGAAGAGAACGATCTCCCTTTCTTCCCTTCCTGCTTTCTGAGAAGCAGAAGAAAACAATTGCAGCGTATTTCATGTTGTTGGTAATATTATGGGTAATAAAACTAGCTTAAATTTAAGCACCAAACTTAGCAGCCATCTTAAAAATGGATCCAGAACAATTCCTTGCTAACAATGATTGTAGATATAAATTTTGCATTATAAGGAATCAAATTGTCAGGGAAGACAATGGAGGTAAAGTGCCTAATGAAGCATTTCTCAGAATTTATCCCCATCGTGAAGTGACACATGACTGTATATACATACATATATGTATATTATAAATATATATACATACATATATATGTGTAGTATATATGTATCTCCATACACACTACATTGTATTGATTTCTGTTTTACATTTTACATAAATGGAATCATACTAATTGATTTTACTGGAATTACATTGAAGTTATAATTAATTTTGGGAGAATCTTTCTTGACTCTTCATATTCTTGACCTTGGAATATCTCTCCATTTATTTTGGTCTTCTTTTATGTCCTTCACTAAAATTTCATATTTTTCCCATAGAGGTCTTGTAGATATTTTGTTATATTTATTCTTAGGCACCTTATTTTTTGTTGCTGTTGAACATGGCATCCATTTAAAAATTATAGATGTAACCTGTTCACCTTACCTAAAATAGTCCCCTCTAAATTAATTTATTTTTTCTTCCTAGAACTTATGACTGCCTCACTATATATTTATTTATTTGTTTATTATCTCTCTCTTTTTCTAGAATATAAGCTCCTCATAGGGAGCTATTTTCTTCATTGTTCTATCCCTAATCCCCATGACAGGGTCTGGCAATAGAGTCGAGTCAAATATTTGTTGAATGAATGTTGACTAAGTTATGTTTCTAAATTTTTGTTTGCTGGTATAAGGGAACTCTATTAATTTTTGTGTAATATCTTAGCTAACAACCATTCTATTCTCTAAAATGACAAAATTTTTGTCTTTCTTGTCTACCACTATATCTTCAGTGCCTGGAAGAAGACCTGACACATTAAAGTGCTCAGTAAATATTTATGAATGAATGAGCTCTCTTGAATATTGATTTATAGCTCTTCTTTTCCAATCCTTACATTTTTTCCTGTTTTCTTGTCTTATTGCACTGGAAAACCCTTCAGTATGATGTGGAAAAAAGTGAGGAGAGCAGGCTTCCTTGTGTTGTTTCTGATTTAAAGGAAATGCTTTAAAATTTTTACCTCTAAGTAAGTAAGTATATTTGTTGTAGGTATTTGGTAGGCATTTCTCATCCGATTAAGAACATTTTCTTCTCTTCCTAATTTTCTAAGACTTTTTATGATGAGTGGGTGTTGAGTTTTATCAAATGCTTTTCTGCAGTTGTCATTGATTCTCCCTTAATATATTTTGCCTCTGTTTTTCTCTTTTAATCTTTTTTTGTGTGTCTGTGTGTGGTGAATTTTCTAATAGACCTTCTAATCTTAAACCATTGTTAGTCTAACATATAGTTTACAAATTGATGGGTTTGTTTTGTTAATATTTTAAGTAGAATTTTTCATCTATATTGATTAACTGAGATTGACCTAAACTTTTTCTTTCTTTGACCATCTTTGACTGATTTTGCTCTCAAATTTATACTAACCTCATTCAATAAATTGAAGACTGTCCCTTCTTTTCTATTCTTTGTTACATTTTTCAGAAGCTTGGGGTTGGGGTATTGATTAATTGAAGTGTTGGACGAGTTCCCCTATAAAATCATCTGGGCTCAGACTTTTGTTTTGCTTTGTCTGTGGGCAATTTTTACTGCCAATTTTTATCGATTTATTGGTCTTTTTAGATTTTCCATTTTTTCTTAAACTAGTTATATTATTTTATTTTCATAGAAAACTGAGTTCAAATTTGTTGGCATAATGTTAATAGATTTCATTATAATTTAGAAAACTTGTAATGTATCTATAATTATGTTCTTTTCTTATTAGCTATATTGCTTATTTAAGCTTTTTTATTGTTGATCAGTCTTATTAGAGGTTTATAACTTATTAGTCCTGTCAAAGAAATAGCTTTTGATTTTTTTAACCTTTTCTAGTATTTTCTACATTTCTGTTTCATTAATTTCAGATATTGTCTTGTTGTTTCTTCTACTTTATTTTTTTTCTGTTTTGTTTTTCTAACGTCTGGGATTAAACACCTAGTTCATTTTTCTTAATATTTGTTCTTTTCTACTATAAAGACTTAAGGCTATAAATTTCTCTCTACTTATTGCTTTAACTACATCTCATAAGTTTTAATATATAATGTTTTCACTTTCATTCAGTCCTAAATATATTCTAATTTCCATTATGATTTCTTGTTTAACACATGATTTTTATAGAGAGATGTCTTATGTTTCCAAATTGTGGGACCTTTTTGTTATCTCTTTGTTACTATGTTCTAATTTCATTTTGTGGTGGTCAGAGAACATGGTTTTTAATAGTTTTAATGCTTTGTGAGACTTGATTTGTGGTCAACTATATTGATACATTTTTATACATATTAATAGGCACATGAAAAGAATAACTATAGAGAATTTGTGAATTCTAATTGTTGGATGTTATAGAAAGCTTGTTAACTGTTTTGTTGTTGTTGTTATTGTAATTCACCAGCTTGTGGAAATAACAAAAATCATCTAATTTACTCCTTAGTATGTTTGAAAAAGAATTTTATAGTGGACTGTCTGAAACTATTCCTTTAAAAGTTACTAATTTATTTTTGGTAAACAAATCCTATGGCCCATTCTTAGTCCTGGATCTTTGCCTCATTTGACACTCTTCATCACTCTTTAGCACTCTCTCCTTAGTTTTCTCTTGGCTTTTGTGATGTGACATTGACCTTGTTTTTGTCCCACTTTTCAGATTACTCTTGTGTTTATTGTTTCCTCTTCTTTTTATTGTACTCAAAACATAGGTGTTCCCTAAGCTTCTGCTCTCATCTCTGTTCTCTCTCTTTAGCAGTTATTTCCCACTTTTTCCTTTCTAAACCCCCAATCTAGCCATGCTTTCAGCTATTATCATACACATACATGGGATTTCCAAGCACAGCCCCAGGGTCTCTTCTGAAGTCCAAATCTGCATATTGGCTCCAAGAGATAGTTCTACTTGGGTGATACCCCATTATATTAGATTCAATATATCAAAAAGCAAAATTACATTTTTCTCCTGCCCGCAGCCATTATGTTGTTGTATTATATTGCCATTATATGTTACTGCAAGATAATTTTCTCAAGTAGATCTGTGATCATCTAATTTTACCACTCAAAATTCCTCAAGTTATTTTTAATGTGGTAAAATATATATAACATAAAAATTAGCATTTTATCCATTTTTATGTATACAATTCAGTGGCATTACATGCATTCACAATTTTGTGCAACTATCACTATTTATCCATTTCCAGTACTTTTCCATAATACTAAACAGAAACTCTGTACCCCTTAAACAATAACTCCCCATTCTCCCTGTCTCCAGCCCCTGGTAACCTCTATTCTACTTTCTGTCTCTTTCTGTTCCCTATTCCAGTTGTCTCATATAAGTAGACTCATATAATATGTGTCCTTTTGTGGCTAGGTTATTTCACTTAGCATAATGTTTTTAAGGTTCATCTGTGTTGTAGCATGTATCAGAACATCTTTCTTTTTTAAGGCTGAATAATATTCTTCTGTATAAGTGTGTGTGTATAAAATGTGGTTATATATATAAACATATAGTTATATATTTTTGCTTTGTTTATCAAACAAATTAAATATCTCAAATTGTATATATAGCTTTGTTTCTCCATTTTTGTTTATCCATTTTGTTTATCCATTCATCTATTGATGGACATTTGAGTTGTTTCTACCTTTTGGCTATTGTGAATAATGCTTCTATGAACATTGATATACATGTATTTGTTTGAGTCCCTGCTTTTAATTCCTTTGGGTCTATATCTAGAAGTAGAATTACTGGATCATATGGTAATTCTATGTTTAACTTTTTGGGAAACCACCAAACTGCTTTCCACAGTGGCTGCACCATTTTACATTCCTATCAGAAGTGCACAAGGGTTCCAATTTCTCCACATCCCCATCAACACTTGTTATTTTTCATTTTTTTATAATAGCCATCCTGGTGGATGTGAAGTGTTATCTTATTGTAGTTTTGATTTGTATTTCCCTAATAACTAATGATATTGAGCATCTTTTCATGTTCTTATTGGCCATTCATAATGTATCTTCTTTGGAGAAATGTCTGTTCAATTCCTCTGCCATTTTCTGTTGTTTGTTTTTTTATTTTTGAGTTGTAAGAGTTATTTTATATTCAGGATACTAGCATAATCATGTGTCTTTATTTCTCTTGGGTAAATATCTAGGAGTGGAATTTCTGGGGCATTAATTGGATGTGTATTTAATTTTATAAGAAACTGCCAAATAATTATTCAAAGTGATTCCGTCAGTATACATTCCCACCAGGAACATATGAGACTTCCAGTTGCTCTGAGTGCTTGCCAACATTTGATCTTGTCAGTCTTTTTTATTTTAGCCATCCTGATGGGTATGAAATGGTATCTTATTGTGATATTTAATTTACATTGCTCTGATGACTAACAACATAGAGTACTTTTCACATTAGCCACTCGATCATCTTCTTATATGAAGTGTCTGTTCAAGTCTTTTGTCTACTTTTAATTTGGTCATTTGTTTTTTCATTGTTTATCTGCAGGAATTCCTTTTCTATTCCAGATATGAATTCCTCGTTAGATAAATGTTTTGCGATTATCTCTCCTTCCCTGGCTCCACAGTCTACGACTTGCCTATTCATTTTCTTATTCATGTCTTTAATCAGGAGAAATCTTTACTTTTGATGAAGTCAAATTTATTAATTTTTTAAATCTTATAGCTAATGACATTTGCATCCTATCTAAGAAATGTTTGCCTACCCCAATGTTGTAAAGATAGTCTTCCCTGTTTTCTTCTAGGAGTTTTATGATTCTAGCTTTTATGTCTACATCTATGAGAAATATTCAGTTAGTTGCTGTGTATGGAGAGAGGGAGAGGTTGAGGTGTTTTTTTCCTCCTCTATAAGGGTATCCAGTTATTACAGCACCACTTGTTAACACAACTTTCTTTTCCCCATTGAATTATCTTGGTACTGTGTATTGGATTGTATTGGCTGTATATTTGTGGGTCCTTCTCTGGACTTTCTCTTCTATTCTATTCATCTATTTGTCTACCCTTGCACCAATACCACACTGTCTTGGTTATATCCAAGTTTTGTAAGCATTAAGGCCAAGTTTTAAAAGCATCCACTTAGTGCCTACGTGTTCCAGACTCTTTATATATGTTACTAATGACAATCATATGAGGAAGATATTATTTCCTGTCTTTCATTCCCCCATGTCATCATAATTGTAGAATATAATACAAGTTGAATAGGCTACATTTCTGAGCACTAGCCTGTATTATTACAAATTCCATATTTTTTCTACCTTTGCAGAAATTAAGTACAGATGCTTTTGATTGGCATTTAAGCTCTGCCAAAATTAGCCCATCGTACTGCTCCAGCTAAGTCTCCTAATGTTTTCTTAAAGGTACTCAATGTTCTAACCAAACCAGACCTTTCAAGGATTTCTGAATATGTCCCACCCTTTTATGCATATGTGTTTTTGTTGGCATGCATTCTCTGCCCATTATTTTTGCACCTTAAATCCAGCATTTCCATCTCAAAAAATCTTTCCATCAAGCTATTACTGAGCCTAATGGTCAAATGTGATACCTCTGCCTTAAAATTCTTATACCACTTTATACCTGTGATGGCACTTATTACAGTCTGCCTTATAATGTAATTTTTTCTGTATTCTTAACCAATTTTACTCCCTGTAAAGAAAACTCCTTGAAGGCAGTGTATTAATTATCTTTTTATCTCCTAAGTAGACATTTCAACAAATTTGAGTGAAAGAAATGTTTTGAGTTCGCTAAAAGATACTGTGATTAAAGAAAGTTTTAAAAAGTGAACAGGTTAACCTAGCATGTGAGTCAGGATAATCCCAAAGCTTATTCTATCAATTTAATCCCTCACAACTTTTTTTTCTTTTTCAAATCAGAACTTTCCAGTTGGAGGATTCTCAGGACTGTAGCAGAGATTTTGTGGAGATCCGGGAAGGAAACATCACTGGTCACTTGGTGGGACGATACTGTGGACACGTCCTCCCCCTCAATTATTCGTCCATTGTTGGGCATATCCTGTGGATCAGATTTGTCTCTGACGGCTCAGGCAGTGGCATAGGCTTCCAGGCCACGTTTACTAACAGTAAGTTGCTTCTGTTTTAGTGATGGCTCCAGAATGCGTCCTACAAACTAGAAAGGATAACATTTTTCAGGAATACACTAAATAAGAACAGTCTTGAACTCTACCCTATTCTCCTATATTTATTGTCTTTGTAGAATTACTTATAATATATAAAATATATTAGAAAAACTAAATTATATATGAATGACTCATTAAGAGCCAGGGAGAGCATTCTCAATGGCTCTAATATTCTTTTTAATCTCTAGTTTCTAGCTACTGTTAAACTTTTTTCATTATATTTTGTTAAAGAGTCTTCTCATGTATTATAGTTCAGGTTTGGCATATTTATATCAAATGTGTTTCGTTTGATCCCATAAACTCTATATTCTTCAAATTCAAAACATTTAGTATTACTTTAGGATTGACTTAAGTGCTCAGATATTATAACGACAGGGTAGTCTTCTAATAGGATAAAATGTTAAATATTTTTGTTTTCCAACTCAACTTTTCCATAATGAACTATTCTATATGTGGTTCCAAAATGCCAGCTTGTCTTACCTTATTGGATTTTTAAAAACATGTTCCATTCTTTTATAAAACAAAGTAAAATAGGTAAACCAAAATTAGAAAATGGGCCTGGTAATACGCCTTCCCATGTCCCCATGTCCCCTGGGGTCTGGGAACCCCTGGTCACATCAGAAGTTATCGTCTCTTTTTTCACCACGCAACCTTCTAAGGAGGTAGAATTCCATTCACAAAATCACCCTTCTCCAAGGAATTAATACATAGCACAGAAACCAAAAGGGAAGCAGTGTTTCTTTCAGTGTTCAGAAAAGAAATCCCAGTCAATTAAAAGTCCATGCTTTTCAACATCCCTTGTCTTTTGTTTCTTTCATTTGATTAAAGAGCTGTTTTCAGTAGGTCTGATTTACTGCTCTGTTTTCCCTCCTAGTATTTGGCAATGATAATATTGTGGGAACTCATGGGAAAGTTGCCTCTCCCTTATGGCCTGGAAATTACCCCCACAACTCCAATTACCAATGGATAGTAAATGTGAACGAGTCTCAAGTTATCCATGGTAGCATCTTAGAGATGGACATTGAAGCAGCAAGTTACTGCTATTATGACAAATTAAGGGTGAGTTTCCAAGTGCAATAGATATTTATAAATTTTGGTAAATTACTATTTGCAAAAATAAATCCAAGTTAATGTCTATTCAAACATTTGAAATAATATGGGATGGTCTGCTCTAAATCGTGATTATCACTTCTACCCCTGTAAAAAGGTAATTCTGGTATTATATTTATTATCTCCGATTCTGTATCTAAGTTTATTTTCAGCATTATTGTAATTTACCTATTGGGCTTTGTCTAAGCATGTATGTATAGCTTAATTAACTATTCTGTCTTATATCCCATTTTCCTGTTTATTCTTATGTTAGAGTGTTAAAAATTTGAAGGATCATTTTAAAATAAATGAATATTAAAATTGTGGTGACCATTGCCATCTAGATGTTGGTTACTGTATCAATTCCAGAAACACTATCAGATTCTATTTTTCCCCCAGCTTTATTGAGGTATCTTTGACAAATAAATATTGTGTACATTTAAGATGTACAATTTGATGTTTTGATATATGTATACATTGTGAAATAATCACCACAATCAAGCTAATTAACATATCTGTCACCTCACATGGTTATCATTTGGGTTTTTTTTTTTTTTTTGGTATAGTGAGAATACTTAAGATATACCTTCTTAGCAAATTTCAAGTATACAATGCTGTATTATTTACTATAGTCACATTTCTGTGCATTAGATCTCCAGAATTATTCATCTTGCCTAACTGAAACTTTGTACCCTTTGACCAGCATCTCCCTATTTCCCTCTTCCCTCATCCCTCAGCAGCCATCATTCTACTCTCTGCTTCTATGAGTTTGACTATTTTACTGTCAGACTCTTGAAGGCCAAGATTCTGTCTTATTCATCTTGAGTCCACAATGCCTCACATAGAACCCAGTACCTGATAGGTGCTCAGTATGTGTGGAAATAATTATTACATAATTTGAAAATCTGAGCTTATATAGTAGCTTCAGTATAGACATTTATAATAACAATTTCAATGAATTTGTTCCAAATTATTTAGAAGAAGATGGAGAGAAGGATAGGGAATGTGGTTGAATAGCATCCACCCACATGTGCAGGAAAAAAATGTGCTCCATGCTATGTGTTTAGAAACTATCACAGACTATGTAATTTAATATTTTCAACCAAATGTAAAAGATTTATTGAGTGTTTTAAGTGAGTTCTGAGCCCTTGCAAGCTGTGATTCTTCTGTTGTCATTAATTCTGCTTCTTTACTTCTGTGGAGATAAAACACCTTTAGGATACCTGTCCACTTTTGTTCATTAAACCTTCCCTCTTGCTTGTTGTTTTGTCCCCTTTCTTCCTAATTCCTCACTTTAAGACCCCAAATTCATTCAATAAGTGCTGTTGTTGTGCAACTATCCTCGCTCCTACTAAAATTCCTACCGAAATTTTACTGTAAATCATATAATGAGCTATATCACACAGAACATGTTTATTAATATAATTCTGCAGCAAAGATACAAATAATTTTAAAACACCTTAAATTATTTCCAATCATATTTTGTATTTAATGGCACTTTCTATTTTAAACTGATATCTAATATTCACTCATTTATTTTTTTTAATTATGATAAAATTTTAATAACATAAGGCATACTTTTAGTTTTCTTTTCTGTGAAGAAAAACAGAGGTAATTGCCTAAATTGGATGCTCTATGTTCTGTTTTTTACATGCAGATTTATGATGGGCTTGGCGTTCATTCCCGCCTAGTTGGAACTTACTGTGGTACCCAGACTCAATCTTTTAGCTCCAGTAGAAATTCTTTGACATTTCAGTTTTCTTCTGACTTTTCAGTCTCAGGGAGAGGATTCCTTCTGGAGTGGTTTGCAATGAATGTCTCTGCTGGACCTTTACCTACTATCGCTACAGGTGTGTTTGGTAATGAATGAAATTCTTTTCGGGGTTGATATGGGTAGGCCAATATTTCTAAGACTCCTACCATAATAGGGACCAAATATACAAATGAGTAAAAAGAGTAAGTCTAGCCTCATATCCTTCCTCCATATGTTTATGTGTTCTTTTAATTTCATAAATACTACATTCTGTAAAAATTGTACATTTCTTTCTAAAAAATACTGGTTTCCCATTATATATATATATATATTTTTTTTTTGAGGAAGATCGGCCCTGAGCTAACGTCTGCCAATCCTCTTCTTTTTTTTTTTTTTTTTTGCTGAAGAAGACTGGCCCTGGGCTAACATCCATGCCAATCTTCCTCTACTTTATATGGGATGCCGCCACAGCATGCATTGACAAGTGGTGCATCGGTGCGCTCCCGGGATCCGAATCGGTGAACCCTGGGCCGCCACAGTGGAGTGCGCACACTTAACCACTTGTGCCACCAGGCAGGCCCCTCCCATTATATTTTTTATATTAATTAGGGATTTGATATCCATGAGATAGTCTACTGCCAATTTCTAGAGACCACTTTAGAGATCTCTGAAAATTTGATTTGCAAATACCATCACACACACACACACACACACAATAGTTAACAATCAACTAGTAGACGGAAGTAACTTTTTTCCCTCTATATTTCATTTTCAATGTGCCTTTAGAAATGCTTCACTTTCTCCTTAGCTGGTTGTAAACTTTCATATTTCAAGATAAATTGGCCTAATTTTTAAACTTTTATTTTACTATTTTTAAGACATCTTTAATTCCCTCAGTAAGCAGTTTTTGGGGAGACTGTGCTTTTTCCTTGAAAAGTTGTTTAAACAATTTTGAATGGCTTTTGTGGATTTGAGGGTTGACATAGAAGAAATTCAGCAGACCTTTTTCAGAGGATATATTCAGTCCTTGGAATACCTGAGTGGGACACATTATCATAGGATCTCATAAGAATATTCAAACTTTAGACTTGTCCTAGAGCTAAGCAGACCCAAAAGGTTAGAGTCTATTTGCTTCTAACTTCTTGGGAAATATCAGCAGAGACCACTGATAAAGGTATAATTCATGCTTATCTTTATTTAATGCTCCTTAGTATTCTGTTCTGAAATGTTATTTTCACTTCCCTTATAAAGTGCTTGAAATTCTTCCTCTAAATATTAATATATTTATGTAAGAGCAGAGAACCATTGGCAAGATTGCCAAATGTAATTTAGAGCTATCCATTTAATTCTGGATGGCTCTCATAAGTAAACTTGAGTTAAGCTTTTTTTATATCTGCAAATCTTAAGTTAGAGATGGAATCACTTACTCATGCAAAACATGATATCAACAAATATAATTTAGAAGTCAAAAAAATAACAAATTCTCTTCTCATACTTATGTTCTATAATTACGTGATTTAAGTGTGTGAGTGAATAGAATATCATAAATCTCATTTTTCTTAATCAAACAAGGAAAGGAGAAAGTAAGAGGGTAAGAGAAAATTATAATTTTATAATTTATAGTTATCTAGATGGTATGATGACATCATACTCTGAAAGCTTCATTAAAACAAAAAAAAAGCTTAACGTTTTAAAATGTGTTAGTATATTAAGAATTGTACCATCAGCGTTTCCTATGCATACATATATTTATTTCAATTCCTCAACAAATATTTATTGATGATTTGTTATAGATAAACTGAAGTGACTAAGAAAACAAACAAAGATATAATCTCTACTCTCCAGGAACTTAAAAGTAATTGGGAAAGATAAAGCATTCGTATGTCAGTTAAGTAACAGTATAGTGGGGCTGGCCCCGTGGTGTAGTGGCTAAGTTCGGTGCATTCGGCTTCAGCGACCTGGGTTTGCGGGTTCAGACTCCAGGCACAGACCTACATCACTCATCAGCCATGCTGTGATGGCGACCCACATACAAAGTAGAGGAAGATGGGCACAGATGTTAGCTCAGGGCTAATCTTCCTCAAGCAAAAAACAAGGAAGATTGGCAACAGATATTAGCTCAGGGCTAATCTTCCTCAGCAAACCAAAAAAAAAACAATATAGTAATTAAATTATTAAATGAGAAAGCAGGTGGTACAGGAAAAAAAAAAAAGCAAGTGAAGGAAACTGAGCTTAATGTGGACTCGGGTCGTCTGAAGGAAATTAAACATGTCAAGTAGGAAACGTTAGTCAGCATATCAGTCAGGACACGCTCAGTTATGCTGCAGTAACAAACAATTCCAAACTCTGAGTGGCTGCAAAGAAAAAGATTCTTTTCCAGTTTGTGCTACATATCCCTCTTAGACTAATTAGGTGCCTTGTTGTTATCATCACTCCGTAACCTGGGCTGTTGGAGCCAACACTGTCTGGGACATTGTCTGTGACCATGGCAGGAGGAAAGAAAGCCCTGGCATGTCTCGGTATAAAAGTGACACAGGTCATTTCACTCATAAGTCATTGGCCAAAACTGGTCAAATGGCCTCACTCACCACAAAAGTGCAATTTCGCCATATGTTTGGAAGTGAGGAGAAATGGAATATTTGACAAACAGCACTGTTGACCCACAGTCAGTTAGTATGACCACTGCCTTTTATAAATTCAAGATAAGAAACATTTCAGGGGCCGGCACGTTGGCGTGGTGGTTAAATTCACGTGCTCCGCTTTGGCGGCCCGGGGTTCACAGGTTCGGATCCCAGGTTTGGACCTGTGCACTGCTCATTAAGCCATGCTGTGGCAGCATCCCATATAAAGTAGAGGAAGATGGGCACGGATGTTAGCCCAGGACTAATCTTCCTCACCAAAAAAAAAAAAAAAGAAAGAAAAAGAAATATTTCATATAGAGGAAAATCTTAATGTTTAAAGATGCTGAATAGTAGTAAGATCTTTGACTTGAAAATTGCTTTTACTTATTTTTTTTCTTTATTTCTATATCCTATGTAGTAATGGGATAAAGGAGTTAGGATCTAGTCCTCTAAAAGTGTACTAATAAGGTGGTCCTAATAAGATTCAATCGTGTACTGTTATAAGAATCGTAAATTTCTGGAATGGTGGAGTAAGGACCTCTGAAAATCCATTCCTGCGTAAAAACAGTGACAACATTGGCAAAAATTGTCAAAATCAACTTTTGAGAACTCTGGATCTTCTACGTGAACTTACTTCATGCTCAACAAACAATAGGCTCTCATTAATAAATGGGTTGTGTGGCAAAATTACGGTGAAAGAATTAGAATACAACGTGTTTTTCTGACACACCAAATAAATTGTGGAAATCCCAGCTGTCCGAATCAGTGGGTTTAATAAAATATTTGTGGATTTCTTTGAGAAGTTTTTTTAACTGGCTGTTTCATTTCAGTATAGGACTGCCACTCTAAAATGAACCTGCCGGCTTCTTTTCCATCAGAAGTGCTACACACATGTTGCTTTTCATTCTCCAGGTGCTTGTGGTGGGTTCCTGAGGACAGGAGAAGCGCCCGTCTTTCTTTTCTCCCCGGGCTGGCCCGGAAGCTACAGTGATAGAGCTGACTGCACGTGGCTTATTCAGGCTCCAGATTCTACTGTGGAACTCAACATCCTTTCCCTGGACATTGAAGCTCATAGAACGTGCAACTATGATAAACTTGTGATAAGAGATGGTGAGAAACCTTTAAAAAAAACACAACAAAAAGCAAAAATCTACCAAGTTTCAACCCTGACACAAATTTAGTTATATTCAATTATAATCATACTTGTTGACTACCTCTGTGAAACTCCATGCAAAATTCTGTCCATTTTGCACGGAATTTCACAGGTATTATGATCAATGAGGGCATCAAATACCAGAATTGGCTACAATTTCTGAAGAGTGTAAGGAAAGTATGAAATTGCCTGTAATAAAATAATCCACACACTACATCAGTGACAACGTTACGTTCCTAAAAGAAAACACTGCTTTTGGCTTAAGTAGGAAATAATAGTCTGAGTTTCCAGGCTGTGCCTCTTTCTTGTTGAAAGGCATTGGAGATAAATCTTGAGATTTTATACCTATGGCTTTAAGATCCAAGTGTGAAAAAGTATTTATAATTGCAACATATTCAATTTTCTTTGTCTGCTGAATTTCTGGGTAGACTAGGTAGAATTAAGGGCTAATATTTTTTCATCGTTTCCTCTATACACAGGTGAGATGTTGCTATGCAATGAGTGAGGGATATGAATCCTGCTGATATGCAACATGCATATGTTGTGCTCCACAATTTGCATGGCCTGGAGGAGAGGAGGGAGGCCATATCCTCTGATCAGTGTTTCTCACAATGTGGTCCCCAGAGCAGCAGCATCAATGTCTCCTGGGAACTTGTTAGAAATGCAGAATTTTCAGCCACACCCCAGAGCTACTGAACCAGAAACTCTCAGGATGGGTCCCAGATCTGTGATTTAAAAACCCTCCAGGCAGGGCCAAGTTTAGGGTGAGGAAAGAAAGACAGGATCGTGCCAAGTGTAGTGTCAGATTCTGTTTTTGTTTAAAAGTTTGATATTTTGATCATTTTACATTAAATTTTAATTTTTTAACTATTGCACTAAAATATTATTTATCTTGATTTCTAAAGTTTTTGGCATCTCCTTAAATTTTGCCCATGATGCTAGTGCTTCGCTTGCCTGCCCTTAGGCGAGTCCCTGCCTCTGGGTGATAATGATGGTCTCTAAGGTCTGAGAACCACTACTCTACATGATAAAAGCAACCTCGAATGCCTACCTAGACAACAGGTGACATAACCAGTGAAGTGTTACACTGGAGAACAGGGTTGAAGGGACAGCTACTAGGAATGCAGGCTCAGTGTTATGGATCGTCCTATTTCCCAAGAGATATGAGAGATACAGAATTTTCTATGAATTTCCCAATTGTGAAATTTTGGAAATTATTAAAGATTCTTCAGAGCATTTTGTGGACCAAACAAACATGTGTTTGCTTTTGGCCCAGAGGTTAGTAGTGTGCAAGCTCTTGTCTTCCTGAGCCCCTCAAGTACAGTAAGAAACATCAAATGGTGGAGGTGCGTTATTTTCCTTGCAGAGGCTGGACACTGAGTAAAGACTCAAATTAGTCATACAAACATGATAAGATGATAAACCCTAACTTTTCCCCTTTTTCCTATCAACAGTCAGCTATCAGCACATTGCCCAGAGAAACTATCATTTTTCCTCATACCAAGGCATTCCTGTGGATGTTAAAATATAAAACTTTTCATGTAATGAAATAAGTGTGTCTGTACACACATGTTATGAGTGTTCAAAACCTGATAGGAACTTTTGAAAAATAGCTTTGGTAGGTAACTGCATCAATGAAGTAAATTATGGTTGTTCTTTAAAAAAATCACTTTCTATTGAGCTGCCTTTTGTTCCACCAATAACTTTTCTTGGACCTGAAACCTAAGAGCTGTCCTTTTCTTCTTCTGTGTGATGTTGTACAAGTCACTAAATGGCTCCTAGTCTGTTTTATTGTCTGTGAAAGAGAGAAAAATATTTACCTCATGGGGTTTTTGTGAGGAGTCACAAAATGAATTCAAAATTCTCTAGCAAAAGTTTTAGCATTTTGTAGATGCAGAATTTGAAGTAGTTTAACTTAAATTTCAATTAATTTTGTTAGAGATATTTCTACGAGAGGTTTTATCATAGCCTCTTTATAGAATAAAGTGTTCTTCCTGAGACATAGAGCTACTTGAGAGACCACAGCAAATTGAGGGATATGCCAAAACAAAGACAATATTTTAGATTGGTTGTGTGACCTATCCATATAGATTCCTTTTTATTCACAACAGCATGAGTACTCAACCAACAGGTTCATTCTTTCCTCATTTGCTTATTTAATCACTCAAGAAATAGTTAAGTCCCTACTCTCTGTCAGTTGGTGGGTATTTTGTTCATTTCCACAGTGTTAATCTATTTTTAGAATTAAATTTTAAGTCCCACTTCAATTATTCATTCTTTGTCCAACCAGTTTTCTGCTTCTGAGGAGCAGAGGCATATAACATTCTGCAACAAATATCTAAGGCCAATTGACAACAAGCAACAATACTTGTAGGCCACTTGTGCAGTTGGCCAGTCATCACAGCCCCTTAGTCCTTGGCCTTTGGTCCTAGGGTGGCTGTGGACATTCCTGAGCCACCTCAGAGAGGGCCCTGCAGCCTTCTGGGAGAGCTGAGTCACTCTCCCACCTGCTTATTCATTTTGTAGAGTTGTCATGGTTCAAAATTGAATCAGTCTTTTCCAGACCATGCACCAACAAATTTTGCATACCAAAGATTCCCCCAAACTGGGACATTGGGCCTAGAAAAAGTTGTTTAAAAAAAAGAAAGAAAGAGAAAAAAGGAAAAAAAAATTGTGTCAAAAATCAGTAATCCTTTTATCTATTCCTAGATATGAGGTATACTTTCTTCATGATCTTAAAGAAATCATTTACTAGCATAGTTTGGGCATCTGGAGTTAATTGGCCAAGGTTTCAAACTGTTGTTGACTTCTATGTTCTATGCCCTTGGGCAAGTCACATATCCCCTCTAAGACTGTTTACTATCTACCAAGTGGAGATGCTGATGATACCCACCTAACAGTGTTATTGTGAAGATAAAATCAGATATTACTTGTAAGGCACTCAAAGTAGTGATAGTAATTGCTCAACATATGTCAGCTACCAGTCACCTTGGGGCCTCAGTTTCCACATCTCTAGAATGGGAAGGTGGGACCAGAGAGAGAATCACCAAACTACTTCTAGACCTAGCCCTTCACTAGTCTTTGACTTGTCTCTGTCTTTAGAGATCAGGTTCATCCTGCCGGAATCCATACGTTAAAGTTGCAGAAGGCACTAGAAATACCCCAGTATTTATTATAGACACTGGAAGGAGGAACAAACTATCTTGTGGTTATTGGGTTTTCCACCAACTAATCAGTTAGTTAATCAATAAGTTGTTAGAGATAAGCATTCTTTCATCAGTCTGAAGGGAGTTTGAAAAAAAAAAGGTAAAAATCAATAGACACACTCAGTCTCATTGAGAGATAAAATATACACATATGAAATAAATAACAATGTATAATAAACTTCAAAATTTTTTAACACTGATAATTAGAGAATAAGTCGACAAAAACAATTTGGGGTGAAATGTGTAGCAAAATAGCACAATGAAGATAATAAGTGCAAAGAGATAAACCTTTGAATTGTAAAAAATATTAAAGTTTCCAGAGGTCAGAAACCCTCCCAAGAATGCCTTTTCAAGCATCTTGTTTTTATAACTATGCCATTACATTTGTGATCACAGAAAATAGCTTGTTTTCTAAAGCAGTTAATAACGAGTGAGTTTCAGGTGGTGGTCTATGTCAAAAGGACTTATTTTGCTGGTTGTGTAAAAGGGCAAATTTCCTCATGTCTCATATTCTATTTTTGTTTTTTATAAGCTTGAAATGCGTTAATTCTCTGCCTTAGGGAAAAACAGCATATTTTTCCAGCCAAAGAGTCCAAGTCTGTTATAATCCCCTTTGCTCCATTCCGGCTCTGACTGGGACGGTTGCTTTGATAGAGACTTACATCCAAGAGCAGCAAAAGGAAAAAGGGCCGGGAGGTGACCCAGCTCTCCTCCCAGTGTGGAGGAAGGAGCATACTTGCTGAAACTACCTTTTCTCATCCTCCACACATGGACATCAGTGTGTTCTTTTAACAGAAAAATGAATAAACAACAACAACCGACAAAATAAAAGTAAAAAACAAAACAAAACAAAAAACCCACGCGCAATTAAAAAAAACCCTGGAGCTAAAGAAAGTGTCATATAAAAGTTTCGCATCTCTTGGCAATTGACCTTACATTAGTATTGGATCTGAGGCTGAAGAACCAAGCTTTTTTCTCTTTTAGGTACTTGATCTTCAGCAGTCAGAGTAATTTGGATCCATCTTTAACACACCCATCAACAGTGGTCTTTGATCACTTCGCAATCCCGTGTGCCCTGATTTTGAGTTTTAGTGCCAGTTTTTAGAATGACAGTGGGAACTGTCAAAGGAGTCTTTATCAAAAAGGGTAAAGAAAAAGGCAGGCAACACCATTACAAGCTGGAGCCAGAATGGTGTAACCCTTTGTTACAAGGACAAGGAGTGTCCTTGTATTTGAGAATCTCCTTATCTCCTAGGAATGGAGATGTTCTGAGAAAAATGTGTGAGCCGCGTTGGATGGGTTGCAAATGGTGACAGAGGAGATTCTTAAAACGTGGTATTTTCACGCTGACGTTTCCTTTCTTTGGTCATAGGAGACAATAACTTGGCCCAGCAGCTAGCAGTTCTCTGTGGCAGAGAGATCCCTGGACCCATTCGGTCTACTGGAGAGTACATGCTAATCCGGTTCACCTCCGACTTCAGTGTAACCGGAGCGGGCTTTAATGCATCCTTTCATAAGAGTAAGATGTTCTTATAGTTTTGTTTATCTCACCTCATCTCGTCTCATCTTGTCTCATCTCATCTCATCTCATCTTGTCTCGTCTCATGTCATCTCTTTCTTTCTTCCTAATATACTCTGCTCATTTTTCCATGCCAGGACACAGGTTATAAGTCAGTGCACACAAGTCTTTGCCCAGCCTCTGGATGGCCATCCTTATGTCAGGTATGGAGTTCTGATCTAAAAAACAGTGGCCAAGTTGTACAAAAGAGCCCCCTGGCCTTAGGTCTCTGGTTGGGGCATATTCCCCCCAAAGGGAGTGTGTTCCTGGTAGGCACAAGAGTAAGATTCTTAAAACAATTTTTCAGCCTAGCTGAGGAGTAGAACTAGAAGACAGCACATATCCATAGTACATCAAAGGAGCAATAAGTCACGTTATCTTCAATTTAAGAAATAACCAGTCAAAGTAATATAGAAGATATTTTCATAAATCCTTTGGTTGAAATCACTCGTTTGAAGGTTGGCAGGAAGAGTTTGTTCCTCTTGAAATATGAATTTGATGAGTCAGAGAATGTACACAATATATGAGAGGCTAATGTGTAGTATGATTGAGACTTTCAAAACATGACAAAATATGAAGTCCAATAATAACTTTAAATCCAAACTAGATTAAAGTTAAAGAAATAGTCCATGGAATATGGGATAGCAAAAGACTCTCATGTTTTTAACTGGAAAACATAATTTTAAAGTAGATTCTCAATATAGACGTTAAAAATCAATATTTCCTGCACTGTTATATACACTTTTTATAGAGTAGGGAGCAATTAAAGATGGATGATCTTCCTTACACTCAAGGGAGGCAGGCTGTATAGTGATTTAAGAGAATGGACTTTGGAATTAGACCTAAGATCAATTTCCACCTCTGCCATTTAACTAGTACTGTGAACTCTACACTCACTCGCTGACGAGCTGTTCAGTCCCCAACAATTGGCAAATTAATGCCTGCTCTGTCCTCTCTCTTTCCTCAACTCCCGACCTCTCACTCTCTCTCATGTATGTGTGTATGACACACACACACACACACACACACACACACATTCTTGATTCCCACCCTCTTCTACCCTCCAAACATGCTCGTTCCACACTCTTTACAATCTTGGTAAATGGAAAATACTCTCTTCTAGTTATTGAAGCCAGAATGTTTGGCATCATCCTTGATTCTTTTTTCACACCATAAGTCCTAATCATCAACAAATCACAATGGTTCTACCTTCACAATACATCTAAATTCCAACTACTTCTTGCCATTTCTACTGGTACCATCCTAGGCCAGGCATCTGTTATCTCTCCTTGGACTCAGGCAATCATCTCCTTATTGGACCCCTTGTTTCTGTTTTTTCTTACCCCGCTCTTGCAGTCTTAGTATGGCAGATGGAGTGATTCTTTTAAAATTTAAGTCAGATCATGGCATTCTGATGATTAGAACCCTTCAATGTCTTCTTATTCAAAATTAAGTCCTTTCAGTTTCCTGCATGACCCAGCCCTGCTGCCTTTTGGATCTCTCATTCTGTCTCACCTATTCTGACTTCCATGATGTATCACTAACACATCAAGCCTTTACACCAACTGTTTTCTAGACTGGAATGCTCTTCTCTCACAAAGACATACAGCTTGATCCCTCATTTCTTTCACGTCTCTGGTCAGATGTTACCCCAACAACATGGATTCTTTAACTTCCCCAGACAGTATAGCACCATTCCCTCCCCTCACTGATTTTTCTTTGCAGAATTTGTCACCATCTCGTGTATTATATATGTGTTTATTATATGTCTTACTCACCTTCAAAGTAAGTTTCATGAAAGTAAGTAATTTGTCTCTATTGCTTACTTCTATATCACCATCTTAGGAACAGCAACAAAATGAGTACCCAATAGTGTAGGCTCAATAAATGCTTATCGTGCTAATCATTTCCTATACTTTGGTCCCAGTTAGTTTCAAACCACATTTTATTGCCTACACTTTGCAAACCCTTAAGAAAATCAGGAAAGTGTGAAAATCCTGTTGTAAATGTTATTTAAACAAGCTGCCTTTGTTTCTTCTTGGGAAGGTTGTGGTGGATATTTGCATGCAGACAGGGGAATTATCACATCACCTAGTTATCCGGAGACCTACGCTCCCAACCTCAACTGCTCTTGGCGGGTCCTGGTCCAGAGTGGTCTGACGATCGCCGTCCATTTTGAACAGCCCTTCCAGATCCCAAATGGAGATTCTTCTTGCAACCAAGGAGATTACTTGGTGGTAGGTCGTGCTCGCTACCTTTTCTGTTTACTTTCTCTGCAGACATCATTCAGAAAACAAAATGATTTTTCTCTTCTGGGACATAAATCAATAGGACTTTTGCACTCCATCTTTCTCAATGTGAAAGAATTTATGCAATTTTAATTTATCTTTCTAGCTAAAAAATGGACCAGATATCTATTCTCCACCTTTGGGACCCCATGGAGGAAATGGTCATTTTTGTGGCAGCCGTCCTTCATCCACTCTCTTCACCTCAGATAATCAAATGTTTGTTCAGTTTATTTCTGATAACAGTAACGGAGGGCAAGGATTTAAGATCAGATACGAGGCAAAGAGTTTGGGTAAGTATTTTCACTGAGGATGATGTCTGTATCTTTCCTGCGATTGCTTGGTCTTCCTTGTTTAACTAGGTTAGAGAAAAAAATACATTAAGTTTTCTTGTCTGAACTAAGAGTAACAATGTTACTAAGAACAACTGCCTATTATCAAGCACTTACTATGTGCTTGATACATTCAGGACCTCATCATGACTGCTTTCAAGGGAGGTATCATTATTCCCATTCTAAAGATAGGTAAAATGATGCCTAGAGTTTTCCAAGGTTACATATCAAGAGAGTAAACAAAGTAAATTTTCCGTGACTACAAATTGAAATGATTTTAATGATCCCCTGAAATTCCTTAGTCCTTTCCAGTATAAAATGTCTAATTGCAAGTTAAATTCAGTTATGGAAACATTGTAAGAATGATAATTACATTGTTTTCTAATCATTTGTATCCTTCGTTTTAAATGAACACACAATCCTCTGATTCTATTATAACCCATTTAATTATATATTACAGCAGTACTCTTTACTTAATTACCTAAGTTACATTTGATTATAATTATATTTAATTCTACTGTAATGATCTAATTTTTGTGACATTTATTTTTGTATAATGTTTAATTGAATAAATAAGTACATAAGCATAGCTTCAGAAAAGAGAGTAATGTCAGCAAAGAGTAAATCTTTGCTTGTGCCCCCAAAATTAGATAATATGGATTTCGGGATAATCCTATGACCTCAGTCCCAGATTCTTGAATATATTTCAAAAAACATATTAAATTAAATAAAGCCATGTGTTTCATTGCACATTCTCCGAAATATGAGAATTGAAAATGTCAGCACAATTTCTTCATTTTGGAAAAGGAGAAGAAATAAGTCTCCACCAACTGATACAGAAAATCATCTAATAGCTTGAGTAGGTTCTATGATTAAGGGGAATGTACTTCTGTTACTTCCCAGTACACGCAGCTCTGGCATTTGAAAGGAGCCTTTGAAAACAGCTCTGTGAACACCAGCCCCATTACTCTACAGCTTGGGAGTTTCTGATCCCTCCCCATCTCCATGCTGAGCTTTGCAGCTAGGTCGTGAATGGGCAGGATTTCCCCTGGTGCTGAGGCTTTATAGAGTAACAGTGCCTTGTGCCTAGTGAATAGACATCAGCCCACCCACGGAAGTCTGCTTCTCCATCTTTACCCAGGATAGAGGACTCAGTCTTGATTTACGGTTTTGAAGTCAACATGTAGTGGTCATTCAGATACACTAAGGGTCTATTTGCAAACACTATGACTCTTTTATTCCTTTGTGGACTCTCTATTCATGCAAGAATGGTATAGCCATTACCTTCTCTCCATCTTTCTGACCTTAATATTAGACTTACAGGGTCTTTTGATTTCAAAACCTATTGCTGGTCAGCCCCAAACAACATGATCACTCTAGTTTCTCCCAACTTTCTAATTCAACCATTTTCCCTTACAGTCAGCCTTCTACTTCTACCATCAATCTTTCCACCATATATACTTCTAAGCTATGCCCATTTCTCATCCTTTAACGTATGTTACACCATGAACAACTTTTGACAACAAGTCACTTACTTCTATACCACCTTTCTCCAGAGATACCCCCTCAGTATGGTTGATTGAGATTTCTATGTCTCTGTGCTCAATGCTTTTTATTCTCATCTGATTAATTGGCTTATTAATTAATTAATCAAACATTTACAAAGAGCTTCACACCGTGCAAACTACTATGTTCTGTCAAGGGTTTCACAGTGCAGAGGAGGAGACAGACAAGCAAAGGCACAATTAGAACTGGTGTGGTAAGTGCTAGGCAGAGGAATGCATCAGGAGCTATGTGAACACGTGAGAGAAACACCTAGCCTAGCCTAAAGGATCAGAGAAGGCGCCCAGAGGAAGTAGCTGAATAGAGATTTGCCAATCAGTGAAGAAAAGATGTGACGACCTATAAAATCTCAATGGTTATGAGATAATAAGGCATATCTAAAGAATTGAAAGAACTCACTACTGCTGGAGAATGGCGTCAAAAGGAGGTAAACACAATGGTGATGAAGCAGGCAGGAATCATCATGCTAAGGGCTGTGGATGCCACCATGAGGACTGAAATTTAAAATGTTAACTGAAAGATAATGGGGAACCATTGAAAGATTTTAATCCAAAGCATGAATGGCATGATCAGACCAGAGACATCAGTGTGGCTGCAGCACTGCACATTGGAGGGGGAAAGACTCAAGTAGAGAGATCAAAGGGAAGAGTAATTCAGGAGAAAATTATTAGGTCCTGAACTGAGGCAATGGCAGTAAGAATGTAGAAGATCGGGCCTATTGAGAGATACTATAAATATGGAGTTGAGTGGATTCGGAGGTCAGTTGGATGTGGGAGTGGAGGGAAGGGATTGGAGGAGCCATGGATGACCCCTAGGCTTCTGGCTGGGTGGATTCATTCATCCCACAAACATTTATTAAGAACGTGCCACATGGCAAACACTGTGCTATGTCTTGAGGATCTGGCAGTAAACAAATAAAATCCATGTCCTCATGGAGCTCAATTTTAGCGTTAAAACACAAATAATAAATAAGTAAGATACATAATATGTCACATAGTAAAATGTATTAAAGAGAAAAACAAGGTGGTAAAGATGGGCAGGGAGTCAGCAAGAAGGGGAGATGATACTATCATTCACTATATATGGAACTCTAGATGGTGAGAAGATAATCAGGTCAGTTGTGGACATGTACAGTATGAAATCTCTAAATTACATCCATTGGAGATGTCCAGTAGGCTGTTGGAACAGGAGTCTGGAGGTCAGAAGAGGGATCTCGACTGAACGTAGAAGTATGAGAATCATTATCAGACTGGTTGTAGTTTAAGTCATGAAGAGGGATGACATTAATCAGAGAGTTACTTAGATTGAGAAGATGAAGGCCTACAGAGGGATTCCTAGGGATCTCCAGCAATGCCAGGGAAAGCCTGGAAAGAGACACCCAAGGACCACAGTAGGAATGGTGAGAGTGATAAAAGAAGGAGGAGGAGAGCTTAGTGTCCAAGAAGCTAAGGGACAAAGATGTAAAGAAGGAAGATGTGGTCGACCGTGTTAAATGCTATGGATGTAGAAAAAAGATTTAAAAAGATCTTGGGGTATGCAACTCTGAGGCGACTGGGAATCTGGACAAGAAGGCTTTGATAGGGCTGATAAGTGAAGGGGGAAGGAGGAGAGAGGGTGGTGAGGAAGCAGAGAAAGGGGCTGTAAATTACTTGAGTTTGTGATACGTGGAAAGATCAAAGGAGCAAAGAGGAGAAAGGGGGAGGCAAGGAGAGACAGACAGACAGACAGACAGAGCTTGATTGAGATTAAAAGCACAGGATAAGTGGAGAGATGAAATAGAGCAAGGTTCCTGAGGAGACAGAATGGAATGGGAGCCGCACCCAGAGATACAGGAAGATAGTGTATGGCGGAAAAATAAAGGGGGGTAGAGATGCAGGTGAATTTATCAGGGATGGTAACAAATAAGGAATAACAAATTGAGGGAGTTCTCGACTGATTTCTTCTACTTTCTTTCTAAAGGAGAACTCAAATAGAATTGGGAGAATGAAGGGTTTAGAGAATATGGTCAAGTTTCAAATAGCTGTTGTAGTTTATATGAAAAAACGGGAGGATTGCTTGGCAGTGTTGCCAGTGGAGAACATGCATTTGCAGTGGCGTCAATTTCCATGAATGGTTTGAATTAAATTTGCAAGGAGAATCTGAAGGAAAGACCGGGAGGAAAGGAGTTAAAGGCAGACAAAGGAATTTGCAGTTTAGGATTTCAGAGATAAAAGAGTTCTGGGTAATGACAAAATTCAGGATATGACCATAAGTGGCTGAATGACAGTAGAAATAAATGTCAATGGAATTCAGCAGATCTGGTATCTGCGAGGCTTAGTTATTGGACAGGCTAATTTCATTGGCATTGTAAGTAACCAGTTTACTCTTGCCTTGTCTGTTTGCTGAGATGGCCAAAAAATGTTTCTTGATAAAAGAAAAGTATTTTTACACAATACTTTGGTCTCTTGAAAATATAAAAAGCTCATTTATCTTCTTGTAAAAACTGGCTGATAAATTCTCTCATGCCATTCTTCTCTTGCCATTCAAATGCATCTAAATCCTGAAGAAACATAATGAACAAATGCCCATAGAGTTGTGCAAATATCTATCTGCTTAGTCTTTTAAATATATCAAGATCACGACTCTGCATCATTCTATTGAACCGTACAGTCAGAGGGCAGCTCTAAGTGCTAGTACATTTACATGCTTATCTATGTGGCGGGTATGAATGAATGCTTCCATGATGTTCTGCGGCATGCACTGTGCACCATAGTCATTTTGTTGGCTTCGAGGAAGAGTGAAATTTCCAATGAGAGTATATGGTTTGGCAAATTAGAAAGTGATACACTTGGTAGCTCCCTTGACAGCAAATTCAAGATTTATTTGCTTAAAAAGAAAATGAGGATAATTCCAGATGAAAGGAAATTGCGAATGGAAATACAGATAAAGAGACTTTTAGAAATGATACTGGCAGTTGGCTGCATCCTCTTTGTCTAGACTGTAGATTGATTTAACTGTGTTTCCTGACAGCCTGTGGGGGCAATATCTACATCCATGATGCAGATTCTGCTGGATATGTGACCTCTCCGAACCACCCCGACAATTATCCCCAGCACACTGACTGCATTTGGCTCATAGCTGCTCCTCCCGGGAAGCTCATAAGGCTGCAGTTTGAAGATCAATTCAATATAGAAGTAACACCCAAGTAAGTCACCTCCATTTAATTTTTCTTCTACTCAGAGTCAGTTGTCATGTCTCAGAACAATTTCTTTCTTCTTTTCTCAGCAGCATATACAACTTAGGAAATCTAAGGCTGCAGAAGGGAAATGCTTAACACCTCGAGCTTGAAAACACTGCCTGCCAGCCACTCTCCCGTCAGCTGAGCAGATTATGTACACAGATGTTGTCCCCTGTGACCCCATGCACATCCTCCTAGAGACACTGAGGATGGCCATTGGAGATTTATGTTATCCGTTCTTCCTCCCACAGGAAAAATATAGTGTCTCTGGTAGACAAGTATTTATTTGCCCAGCCTCATACTCAGTGTCATAAATGATAAAATATCTGTTTAACAAATGGAAATGTGTGTTATGTGACACCAGGGGTCACCAGTGTCAGAGACAGGACTAAAGTAAGTACAGCACAATTTCCCAATCTCTATTTAATAAGACTTCTTAAAGGATTGCAAGCCAGAGAGTAAGTTCTAGTATGTTGAACACAAAGGGAATAACTACACAAACTGAAAAAAAAAATCTGCATTTTCTCATTTAACAAAAGTGTGTATACATTTCCTTGAATATATTTATGGTACAAAACTCAGGAACAAGAGTTTACCATTTATGGGTGCCTGATATAACGCTCCTCTCCCACTCAGTGAGCAGTAATTGGCTGATTGACTTTCTCAAGAAATATTGGGTAAATACTTGCCCACTTTTATGGACACAGAAAGTTCCAGCTGAGACTCTCCATTAGCCCCGGTCGCAGAGCTGTGAAGAGAGAGTTCATCTTTGTCATGTGAAATGTGTCATATCATCATGTGAAACAAAATACTTGATTGTTTGAATTTCCTTCTGCTACAGAAATGATGATTTCATAATGTTTTTGGAGAAAGTGAAGTCTTCATTATCAAAATATGTCAAAGCAATTGACTTTATATAGTAAGCAAAATTTTCTTTCCATTTTAGCTGTACATCCAATTACCTTGAGTTGCGAGATGGAACTGATTCAAATGCACCAGTACTTTCCAAGTTTTGTGGGACATCTTTGCCCAGCAGTCAGTCGTCCTCAGGAGAGGTGATGTATTTGAGATTCCGGACTGACAACAGCCCAACTCATGTGGGATTCAAGGCCAAATATTCTATAGGTAACAATATTTTTTATATTCAACGAGAAAGTAGTGATAGAATAAATAAAACTTTAAAACATTACACCATATTTAAAGAAGTCTTTCTATCTGCCAAATTTCAATAATTATTTTAATGATAGAAATAAGAAATGTAAATGTTTAAAACCACAAGTCATTGATCAATTTTAATTTTTACTTTGATTTCCATTTTAAAACACTCTGTTTAGTAAACTTGAATATTTTGTATTTTTTCCTAACTTGTTTGTGAAAGACATATTCTATTAAATTCTTGTTTCTTCCTCTTATCATGAAATATGTATAATATTAATTTAAATAGTAAAACTCTTTAGTAGTCAAATACTTATATTTAGAACACTGACTTTGAACTCATCAGTAATAGATAATTGAGATGTTTTTCCCCTAAAATAAGTGCCAAATCAGTCACTTGACAAAAAGCAAATATGTCTCCTCAATGTTTTGGTTTTTCTACTTAAAAAATGAGCAATAAATATGCATATTAAAGATTCACTATAATAAGGTCATAATTACATAGAATTTAGTATGTCGTGGGTCTGACCACCAACAAACATATTTAATATAGCCCAAACTCAGAAAGCCTAGTCATAACAATATTTAAGCTACATCATAGGTCATTTTATAGCCTGAGGCAAGTTGTATATAATTGAATCTAAGTATCACATCCAGCTGATAAGAAATAATTGAATAGTAATTTTCATGGCCCTGAGATACCAGTTACTGCAGTTTGATAAACTACAAATGGCAGGCATCACTAATCAATCACAGCACCCCTTCCAGGTGAGCTTGGACTCATCTTCAGTATCACCAACACAGGGCACTAGGCAGACCCTATCAATCTATCAGTTGGTTCTTGAAATGAAACCCACTTGCAACTAATAGCTCTTACATGGTGTCCCAAGAGAATTAATGAGATGTTACAGAATATGCCATTCAACAGTCTTTGTCTTCCATTTCCCATTATTGGATTGCAGTTGTGGTATCATTTCTCTTTACTTCAATAGTGGATTTCAAGATATCAGGGAAGCACTAACTAAACATTTTCAGAATTTTTAAAACTTCAACTCATATTCACTTGGGACCCAATAGTTTTTAAATGTGCTGATTAAATTAAATATATATATATATTAATAGAATATTGCTCTTTTTTTTGCAGCCCAGTGTGGGGGAAGAGTTACAGGGCAAAGTGGTGTCATTGAAAGCATCGGATATCCAACCCTTCCGTATAGAGACAATTTATTCTGCCAGTGGCATTTCCAGGGTCCCTCAGGACACTATCTCACCATCCATTTTGAAGACTTTAACCTTCAGAATTCCTCTGGCTGTGAAAATGACTTTGTGGAGATCTGGGAAAGCCATACCTCAGGTCAGTGAAATATATCTGCTGTTTTTTGGGGGTGTTTATTTTCGCATGTGCTCATTCAGTCTCTGAAGTTTCCTTACTTCTAACAAAGTCAAAGTTATGTGTATTCTTTGCAGAGAAATGCAGCTCTATCAGCTCTGGGCAGTGCTAGCTTTTCCCTCCCTCGATTCCTACCCTAAACCATGGGTGTCCAAAGCCCCAGGTGTCATTAGATAGCTTCTCCTGGAGACCACATTGAGAGAGCACTGCACTGAGAAGGCATCGTCTTCCTGCTGAGACCTTCCAGGGCCATAGGCAATTATTTGAGGGGCATCCTGTAGGGTAAGGAGAGGAAAGCGTAATGTATCCTGGAAATAATATGAGATGGACACTTGTCACTCTGTTGCCTGGAACCATTCATTACTTTAACCAAACAAGCTAGCCTTCTTCAGAGTGCTGAGATGTCCTTGCCCTAATTGGTTGCAGTTTTTGTTATACTTCTTCATATATTTGAATATGTTGATTTTTATTCATGTTTGTCCTGCTTCTCTTGACAAAAATTACCATGTCCTCGTGGGCAGAGTCTTGTCTTTTATTATTTTCTTGTTCAACTTGCAGAACACCTCCAGTAGAGGTTAAATGAAATCAATCACCTGGTCATATACATATGTAATTATTTGACTCTCACAGGAAATTTACTGGGCAGATACTGTGGAAATACCATTCCCAACAACATAGACACTTCTAGCAATGTCGCTTTGGTCAGGTTTGTCACAGATGGCTCTCTTACTGCCTCAGGATTCAGACTACATTTTCAATCCAGTCTGGAAGGTAAGTTCATTGATTCATTAAAAAATGTATATCATTGAGCACCTACACTGGATAGACACTATGCTAGGCACTGGTGTGACAAAACAAAAACCAAAACAAAACATGACCACTGTCTTCTTGGGCCTTACAGTCTAGTGGAGAGGCAGACACTGATCAAATAGTCACCAATAAATGAAAAATCACGACTGTGATCAATGCTACAAAAGGAAAATGAGGGATGTAAGGGGATAAGAGTTGCACTGCGTTACTCATCTTAAGAAAGCTGGTCTGTTAGTCCTACAGTTACTTACAATTTGCATTCCAAATTCCCTGACAAACTCAGGTGAAATAAAGATCTTGTCTGAAAAAATTGGATAATTACTTTAGCCTTCCGATTTTCCTGCCTCTTAAGATACCACATTTATTGGTCTCTCATATTTCTTGGGCCATGATGATAAAATGCTGCCAGTGAACTATCATGCAAAAAAATATTAAATATTAAATATTGGAGATAGGAAGTGAATAGAAATGTTTTCTATAAGTGCTCATATATATATCTTGATAAATAAGAGCAATGATTTTGTCTAGTGGGATAATAAAAAAAAATACTTTAATTTCAAGAACATTCCTTATAGAAGGGCTCATTTTGATTTGATTGGAAGTTTTCTTGTTTTTTTTTCTTTCCCCTTCAGAGTGTGGTGGGAATCTACAGGGCCCTACTGGAACATTTACTTCTCCCAACTACCCGAACCCAAATCTTCATGGCCGGATCTGCGAGTGGAGAATCATTGGACAGGAAGGCAGGCAGATCACCCTAACTCTTAACAACCTGAGGCTGGAAGCTCATCCATCCTGCAGCAGTGAGAGTGTGACAGTAAGTGTCTCGTGCAGTCAGGGATGTTATATTCCATTGTTTATGGAGTTTATTGACCCGTAAATTATAGTCAGAAAACTAGGTCAAGAATATTCCCATACGTGCAACTGTATCTCAGACAAATTCTGAGTATTTCAGATAGAACAAAATCACAATAAACTGCCATAATATTTGTAAAAGCTGTTTTAAGAGACTGTTAGTTGTCACAACATACATCAGGGTTATGGGTAGGATAAATTTTAAGAGCCAATGATCGTTACACATGGCAAAACTGGGTGAACAGAGAAAAGCTAAGCCTCTGGGTATCACATGGCTGCGTGGGACCATTTACAGAGCAAGCCACCACCAAAAGTTGAAGCAGAGTGGTCTTGCATAATTACTGTTCTCTGCCAGAGGTACTGGGGGACTCCTCTGGAGGACGTGGCTGCCTGCCCTCCATGATGCCAAGCTCAAACGCTTTGAGACACACCTTCAGCATTCTTAGCTTCCCTTAGCAAAAGAAAGCAAATGAGATCCATGAGTGTGAAAGAAGATTGTTAACTGTGAAATGACAGATATATATGCATATATACTATATCAATTGTAGATGAATATTAGTATATTTCCACACCCAACTGGCCCTTTCTTCAGTCTTTGTTACCTCAGTAAATAACAATTCCAAACTTCTGGTTGCTCAGGTCAAAAACCTTGATGTCTGTTTTGGAGTCCTTCCTCTCAAACCTTATACTGCATCCATAAGCAAGTCCCATCCATTGGCAGTCTCTTTAAAAAAGATCCAGAATCCAACTACTTCTCATCATATCCACTACTACCACTCTCAGCACTCAGATTTGTTTTAATAACTTCCAAGTGGTCTCCTTACTCCCACCATGTCTCCCTGCGTTCACACAGCAGCCAGTGTGATGGGTTTAAAAGTAAGTCAGATCATGTTACTCTCCTTGAAAATCCTCTAATGGCCTCTCATCTCACTCAGAGGAAAATCCCAAATCTTTACAACGGGCCAGCTGGCCCTACATTATCTGCTGCCCCCTCCTTCTCCTACCTATGCTTCTTATCTCAAACTCCCCTCCTCTTTTGCTCGCTAGGATCCAGTCTCACTGGCTTCCTTTTGTTCCTTGAATGAGAACAAAAGCTAAGATGCTCCCACGTCTCACCAGCTGACACTCCATGTATTTATTTGTTTGTCTGTTTACTGTCTGCTCCCCCACTAGAAGGTATGCTCCATTAGGACGTGCACATAGTTTCCTTTGCTGCTGAATCCTCAGTGCCTGGCACATGATAGAGACAGTAATTGTTGAATGAATGAATAGTAGAAATACTATCATATATTATCCTTTTTAAAAACAAGCCACTTTTGTTTTCTGTTTGTTTCCTGTTGGGTAGTGAATTTCAAAACTATGAAACATCTTTGTATGTTACTACCACTTTATATGGTCCTAAACTGATCTCATTCAACCTTCAAATTTTGCTCTCAAGTTCTAATATCTGAAGGACTGAAATGTTGTCTTTTATCAGATATGGAAAATTATGGAACCCAGTGCGTTTTCTTTTATTTGAAAGTCAGGAAATTTTGGACTAAGCTTGCTTGTTTTAAAGGAACATTTTTTCCTATTATTGAATGAATATATAGAGACAAAGATGAAGTAGAAAAAAAATTAACCACTCTCATTATACTGTATTTTGATGAATTTTCTTATCTTTTCTTTGCAATGAATGATATTACGTAGTTGTAATCATGTGTCATAAATTCATTTGTATATTCATGTTAATCTATTTTTCTGATTATAAATATAATGGATGCTTGTTGAACAATATTTGGAGAGTTCAGAAAATAAAAAATATAAAAATACTTGGAATTTTACACACCCATTGCCAAAATTTTGAAGTATATGCGAACAGTTTTTTTTCCTTTGAGATCATATTGAAATACAATGATTATTAGGAATCTTACCAGCAGAATATTCACATGCCCTACAGGAAAGATAATGTGAAGAGTCATAGTTTCAGAACTCAAATAATAAGATAAAGTTTACAGCAACACCCACACATTCTGAATCACATCTTATGTGTCATTTCCTCATCTCTGGATTATAGATGCCAAAGGCAGCCACTTTCAACTCCTTTAGCTTCTTGTGGTATTTATGTCATTATTTCAAAATAATATTCCTGTTCTGCTACTTGGTTATTTTTGGACTTAGACATTATCTATCTACATCCAACTATGGAAGACGAGAATTTAGCTCTCTTTACAAATCACCCTCCACTACCACCAAAAATGCACACAGGGGTTATGCAAGTTCACATACTGCCCCCACCAACTTCCTCCCAAAATATTTATGTCACAGATTTTGTTTAAATTGGTATTCAATGTTTACATTACTACGATTTTGTAAATGTCATTCCCAACTAAGCCAAGTAGTGTACTATGGTAGCATTTGCTTTTATTTCTCCAAGTAATAATATTAATTGTGTCCTTTGTACATCCCCTTGGTTTTCTATGCCTCTATCACTAATTCTTCCACACACTTTCCACTCCAGATGTATGTCTCCATCTTATATGATAAAGCACTGCTGTCAGTGCCATGCATTTTCCTTAGCAATATCCTTCCTTGAGCCTTTGTCCATCAGCTGCAAGCCTGATGCCAGCTGTCATGTCAGGATTTCCCTCCACCATCAAACTTGCAAGTCCCTTCATTCCTTTCCTGGGTTGGATACCTGGCTTTATGTGTGCATTTTCCTTTTGTGATTAATTTCCTCCTTTTGGTGGAGAATATGCTCTTATATCTCGCTAAGGAAGTGGGCATGGGTGTAACGCTTTTGAGAATGTGTATACCTGAAATTATCCTTATTTTACCCTCATTCTTTGAATATATTATATATTAAAATGTCATATATATTCAATATATTAATATATATGAATATATTAAATATAATTTTGAAGTTTTACCTTGGTTCTTTTGGGGTCAGTTTCCTTCAAGTTCTTGTTTCCTATTGACATTTATTGGCCTCTGCTTTTTACATTAGATGTTTCCCTAAATGTCTGATGACCTCTGGCTGTTTGTTCATATTTAAGACTGAAGGATTAAAAGGCTGATTGGAAGCCCTGTGTGCATGACTGGGGCTGTCAACTTGTGACAGAGGAGGGACTTTACCATTTAATTAGGAAAAACTACAAATGTTGTACCTATAGGTCTTTTCTCCTGGGGAGGTTAAAACTCCAGCAAAGAATCACTTTCAGAATTAATTTTTTCTCTGAATCTTTAATATGATGTCTACATGCCTTTTCTTTGAAATCTATTTTTATAGGTTCGATGTTTGTTTTGTTTCCTCTTCACTCTGCTCCAAACAAGGGGATATGGCTTCTCCTTTGCCCACTCTTTATTTACTTGAGAACTTGTCCAAAAAAGAGAGAAAGAAAACAAGGAGAGAGGGAGGGAGGAAAAGAAGGAGGGAGGAAGACTTCCTAAGATCTACAGGTTGAGCGAGGGCAGCTTTAAGTGCACTGCATCTAGAACAATACCTTATCCAGCTGGCCTGAGCATACAGTTCCTTTAAACCCAGCTGTCTATCTGACTCTCTGTCCAGATGGAGAAGAGAAAAAGCTACACCATCCAGGACTACAATGCACTACAATGAGACGTGTGCTCGATTTTATTTCTGCTTATAGCAAATTTTAGAGCTCGTCCTGAATCTCATATGCTTACTACCTACCCCCATGGTTTTCCGGGAGTGTAGTTTCTGAGTACAAACAGGAGTGGAGGAGGAAAGTGGAAACAGTGCTCTGGTTGCCTCTAAAAGCAGGAGTTCACGTGATAAATTGATGACTACACAATTTTGAGTCATTGCAATTCTAAGCTCAGGGCAGACATTGGGGCAAGGATAAAGGCCATTGATCATGGTTTCCAACATGTTCCATTAGCCTGTAGTTGCTAATAATCCCTTTCAATTCCTGCAGTGTGTTGCCCATTTCTGTTTTCAGTATTATTGACATAGTTGTCATCTTCTGTTTCCTTATACATTACTTTGTGGTTTGGAATTAGAGGGATGGTGTGAATCCCAATTCTATTGTTACTAGCTCTTTGAACTTCTGCAAATTGCACAATCTTGCTGAATTCTACTGTCTACTGGGAAACAGGGATAATACTGTGTATCTGATAGGGTGTCCTGGTAATTGGATAAGGTGGTCCAAGTGGGTCATTAGCAGTCTGGCATTTTGTCTGCGCTCAGTAAATGATAGGAAATGCTATGTCTGATCCTGTGAGCCGGAAGACACTTGAAACCAGAAGCCACCCCCCAGAGCTCAATTTAATGATCAATTATAGTAAAAAAAAAACAAAATATGTTATGGAGTGCCTTCTCTTTCTCCATCAGCTCTTAGTGTCATACTCTGAATCATTATTTCTGATTGTGAGCCATTCAAATCCTTTTTAAAAACAGGCATATCAATCACTCAATCAATCAATTATTATTTAGTTACTGCTGGATCTTTCTCAAACTGTGAAAACTAGGCATACTAAAACATTCCCTTGGTTTTGTACAGAGGTAGAATAATACTTTGCCAATTATTATAACTGTGTGCATAACCAGAGTTAATGTTTGATATTTTGGAGTCAACAATACTCTAATCCATTTTTAAAAATTCAAATTAGTAAGAAAATCGAAGCTTTAAATCCATAAGTAATTAGGAAAGAACTATTATATTGATTTTGAGATTGATTTTTTTTAAATTACTTTTCAAGGCATTTAAAAATATTTGAGTTATTGTATACTTCAGATCATCAGAGACTAACATTTAAGCTGTCCTTCCAAATACCAAAGGCCCTGATGCATTGTTAAGAAAAATTGCCCATCAGTGACTTCTGTGAACTAAGATGTAAGCCTGCTGGCAGATCTCCTTTACATTTAAGGCATGGTTTCCATTTGCGAGGAGTACGGCAGTGTTTCGTTTGTCACCACGTGGCAGGAGGGCATTATGGAAATACTTTCATTTTAGTGAAATGACCCCGAGGCCACAAAATGTGCTCCAGGTAACATAGTGGCTTACGGCACTGGGCTAGAAGCCTGTGTTGTTAAATAATTCATTTTAGCACAGGGTTTCCTTAGAAAGAAGTGTGTCTGGACTGCGAGTATAACCTCTCAGGAAATATTCAGTAAGATGGACTGCGTGTCTAAAGGTTAAACTGTTTTCCAACAGGTATTCAATGGTATTAGAAGTAATTCGCCCCAGCTAGAGAAACTGTGTAGTAGTGTGAATGGAAGCGACCAGATCAAGTCTTCAGGAAATACTATGAAAGTCATTTATTTCACTGATGGATCCAGGCCATATGGAGGCTTCACTGCTTCCTACACATCCGCTGAAGATGCAGGTAATATAGGATGTTATAAATGCACCTGTTTTAATCGTATGCATTGCAGACGCCCCACAGCTGTGCCAACAGCAGCGGAGCCATCTGGTTTCCCTTTAGTGATCGAAGTTCCACCTAGGATCTCTACATAACACAAACATACGTAACCAGATAGAAAACCCATGCTAGGCAAAATAATAATTATAATTATAAAAGAAAAAAACCTAAGTTTGGAAAGAAAACTGCCATTGTGAATTAGAAACTTTTAAAAACGCTGTTAGAAGAGCTTCCAGCTCAACTCCGTGCAATGTCACCATTACAGTCGGTTGCCGATTCTGCAGTCCTTAGTCAATTCTTTTGTGTCAAAAGACACCATCTACTTCTTGAAAGGTGACTTACTCCCAGAGAGTAACTAATTTAGTTGAAGACAGACGGATTTTATTGTTTCTTTGTCATCCATCCCTGTACATATTTCCAGTGTAAATGAATGAAGTGTTCGCATTTGATATAGAGTATTTAAAAATTAAGCAAGAGATGGCCTTTCTATTCTAAATATCCTCCTACTTTCTGGATTGGTGTTGTTATCTAAGAATTTTAAAATTTAGGAAGAGTGGAACTGACTATTAAAAAAAAAACCTTTAAGTTATTTCATTGATACAAGGAACATTCGTTCCCTGTTAAAAGGGGCAAAAGGCCTAAATTAGAAGATATTGATGCATAGCCTACCCCCACCCACCTAACCTACCGGGAAAGAGAGAAGTTGCTTATTTTTGCACATATTTCTTTCTAAACCCACAGAAACTTCTTCCATTGTTTGAATGCACGTGCCAGCCCTTCACCCACAACCTTGACTTCACCTAGAAAAAAAAGTCAAAGCAATAAAAATGTTGCTCTTGCTATTTTAGTTATTTGTATCTTCTATGATGACGGGAATCTTACTGCTACTTTCTCTGTTGCATTTTGTTTCCTTAGTGTGTGGCGGGTCTCTTACAAATTCCCGTGGAGGAAACTTGACTTCTCCTGGCTATAATGGGGTCAGCAATTACTCAAGAAACCTAAACTGTGAATGGACCCTCAGCAATCCAAATCAGGGAAATTCGTCCATCTACATTCATTTTGAGAATTTTTACCTAGAAAGTCATCAAGACTGTCAATTTGATGTCCTAGAGTTCCGAGTGGGTGAGTTCAATCAAGGAACACATCCTCCCACTTATCTACAGTACCCTTCTTAATGCCTGGAGACCACCAACATTGAAGGAGTCAAATGGCTATCATTTATGTACATAAGATGCAAAAGAACGTTGTTAAACAAAGCTGTAATTCTGTGTGTGCCCAGCTAAGGAGAACATGCCCTGTGAACAGTGAGTGAGATGGACCAGTGTTTACAACTAGACCCTATGTTTCAATTTATGTGAGATTTACCCAGGGGAGATTCCGATTTGTCTTTGCTCTCTTAATAAGCTCATGTGGTCCCTTCAACTATCATCAACTGCTCAAGGCTCCTTTCCTCAGAGACCAGAACATAAAATGGTCAGAATGTATTGGTGGTTTCCTGAACTTACAGGATTCACAAAAGAGGGTGTGAAATTCTACTTAGGTCTTAGAAGTCAAAAGAAGTTTTGTAGTATACCAGATGGAGAAGCACATGGAAGCTACTTGAGGAATTATCCCCAAAGCAGTCAAGTTTGTCTTTGTTTTCTTGATAGAAATGGATTGAGCTGTACTTGGTAAACCAAAATTTTCTTAAGAATTTTTAAAAATCTGCATTCATGGAAGATGAATCCATTTTAGTTTTTTCCTGTAGTCAAGGCATAGGTTAAACATCAAATTGCTCCTATTGTTACATTGACATTCCTTAGAGGAGGAATATAATAACATCTATGCTGTCCGAGGTTCACTGAGTTCCATAATATTACAAAATTTTATGCTAAAATAATTATGCAAACACAAATTGGAACAAAATGGCACCTACAATAGAGAAAGAGGCCCACATCATAAAAGCCTGGGTTTTATTTTTTTTACCCTGTTGGAGGTAAATATTTTTTGCACATATATTTCTTTTGCAGTTGACAAAGATAGAAAGGAAATTCATGAAATATCTGCTACTAAAGCAGAATTTAAATGTATGTCAATGAGTATGTTGAAATGATTTTTATTATTCATTCCTACCGAATTCATTGACTATTTCTCAAAAGTTATATAAACAATGGCACTTCGCATGTTATTTTGTCCAGGTAATGCTGGTGGGCCTCTGATATGGAGATTTTGTGGACCTTCAAAACCTACAATGCCGTTGGTTATACCTTATCCTCAGGTGTGGATACACTTTGTCACCAATGAACGTGAAGAACATGTTGGATTCCATGCAGAGTATTCCTTTACAAGTAAGACATGATTAAACTCTCAAACTCTGGCAATAAAATAATAGATAACAGATAATTTTTTCCATAAAGATTTCACATATATTTTGTTAGGTTTGTTTGTAGGTAGCTATTGGTCTTGTCGCTAACATCAATGAGATGTTCTACATTACATTTTCTAATTGGTTGTTGCCAATTTCTAGGAATTTTAAAATTTTTATACATTGACCTTTAGCCCAGAGATCTTGCTATATTCTTATTAGTTTTAGTATTTTGTCTGGATTATCTTTGGTTTTTCTATGTAAACAATCATATCTTCTGCACACGATAGTACTTTTCTTCTTTCGGCCCCAAAACTGTATTTCTTTTTCTTGTCTTTTTCACTAGCTAAGGCCACAACCATAAAGTTGAATGGAAGGGATGATAGCATTTTGTTTTTGACCTTAATGTGAATGCCTTGACATTTCATTGTTAAATATATTGGTTGCTCTTAGGTTTTCAAGAAATATTCCTTATCAGATTAAATCAAGTCCCTTCAATTCTTGGTGTACAAATTTTTTTTTTTTTACTGTGAATGGGTGAGAGGGTGTCATGGGTATAAGGGGTATAATGGGTATTATCAAATGATTCTCCTGCATCTATTGAGATGATCCTATTTTTTCCTCCTTTAATATGTTAAAGTGATAAATTATATTGAAAGATTTTGCTCTTGTTAAACCATCCTTTCATTTCCAGGATAAACTCTACTTGGTCTCGATGCGTGTTTTGAACGTATTACTGGATATTATTTGCTAATGTTTTGTGTTGAATTTGCATCTGTAACATTTAGTAACATTTAGTTTGTGCCTGAAAATTTAGCCCAAGACAGGCAGCACTATCCTTGCTGCTTCTCCGGGCCGTTGAAGTTTTTCTAGACTGTTTTCACTAACAGGGCAGTCCTTCTAGATTCCCAACTTTATGTAAAAGTCTCAGTTCCAGCACTTGCTTCTGTGGGAGTCTAAGGCCATCTGTTCTCTCTCTGCCTGGTCATCAAAACCTCTGGGCCCACATCTTGGTTCTATATCCTCTCAGACCGACACACTTTAAGTTTCTGTTTACCCCTCGGAATTTGAATACATTCATTGTTTATAGACTTTAGAGATCTCCTTTCTTTCCATTAAGTTTGGCTATCACTCAAAATATGTTTTGCTTATAGTTTTATATAACATTTCTTTGTGTTATAATCAAATGGTTGACTGGGGGAAGGAGTGAGATTGATTATCTACTCAATCAACCGTCTTGCCTGTTGTTTTTTGTTTATCAGCTTGAAAGAAAAGAGTCAGGCTTCAGTAAGCAGTATTATTTCTGCGGAGCATCTGATCATACTGTGCTTTAGAAATATATCCGTTTTTCAACTTGCTGTGCTAATGTCTACTTTGATAGCTGACCACAGACATATGTGCTTATTATCGAAAGGCGAAGTCTTTAGTTATGGTACCGATCATATTCTTCAAGCTTGTATTTATTTTCATTGGCCTAGCTTTTTCCAGAAAGGCAATGTTATTTACTTTGTCCCTAGTGCATTTACTATCAATTATGTACACAATCTAATTATTCCCCATTTATGGTACAGATTATCTTCCCTCTCCTTTGTATTAAACTTGAGCCTGTTTTCACTGTGATTCTGTATAGTGGGATTCTGTTTACTTCTAATCTTCCACCCGGTTTTACTTCGCTTTTATCCAATTTCATCTGTTTATTCATTTATTATATATATATTTTAATCATAAAACTTGACGGCTGTAAGTACTACTTACTTTGGCTTTGCAGGGGTGTTTTCTTCCTTCTGTCTTATTTAGAGGGTTGTAAATCTGCTTTCAGACTGTGGTGGGATACAGACAGGTGAGAGTGGAGTGATCACCAGCCCCAACTATCCAGCCTCTTATGACAGCCTGACCCACTGTTCCTGGTTGTTGGAAGCCCCACCAGCCCACACCATCACTGTGAGTTCTGATGACTGGGTACAGTACTTCTAAGACTACAGAGCTACAATATTGTGTCCTGTGTTGAGCAGAGTATTTTTAATAAGCAAGTGATTAGAATAGGCTTTGATCCTGCAATCAGGTCATTTTCTCCCCAAAATTCTCTCATTAGAGTACATACATTGGCATCTGCAAGTTTACCATTAATGAAGAATGAACTCTCTTTTTCAAGCATAGGGGAAGCTATGTATAGAAGACAGTTCTTCATCCGAGAGAGCTGTGTTCATGTTCTTGATATGAGTTGCCATCCCAGCCCAGGGGACTGAGGAGGTCCCCCTAATGTCTCCAGTTTCTAAGAAATATTCCCTCTCAAAATTTCCAAGAGAAATTTCAATAAGGAAAAAGGGAGGAGGGAAGGGGAGAATTAAATAAGAGACACAAATACAAAATTATGTAAATTAAAACAAAATCAAAGGGTTTGTGAGGACCTTATCTAACTCTAGGTAGATAAGCTCACTTATAACTCGGAGCGCCTCATTATTTCTTCTTTCTCCTGCAGCTTACATTTACTGACTTTGATATTGAAACCCACGCAACCTGTGCTTGGGACTCTGTGACTGTCAGGAATGGTGGTTCTCCTGGATCGCCCATTATAGGACAATACTGTGGAAGTTCAAATCCCAGGACAATCCAGTCTGGTTCCAACCAGCTGGTGGTGATTTTTAACTCCGACCACTCGGTGCAAAATGGTGGATTTTATGCTACGTGGAGCACACAAACATTAGGTAAAAGAAACGTTCTCAGCACTCATTGTCTTTTCTCACTAAGATATTTTTAAAATTTATTAACTAATTCAGCAAGTGTACACTTGGACCCACTCTCTGTCAGACTCAATTCTACATGTATCATCTCACGTAGCAGCCCTGTAAGGAAGACACAATATCAATTCATATTTTCTTCATTTTGCATGGGTGGAAACTTAGGATAAATGGGTTGATAATTTGCCCGGTCATGTAGCTGGTAATTGGTAGAGTCATGATTTGAATAAAGACAGTAGAGCCCAGAAACTTCGATCTTAACACTTCACCATGCTGCCTCCATAGGCAAAAGGGCATGGCGCCACCAGGGAATCACAAGTATTAGAAAAGATGTGTTGGAATCATGAGTAATTTAACATACTGTGAGCTTGGAGGCAGAATGCTGTGTGGTAGGAAGATGAGTAGTCCACATCATGAAGAGCCTTGGCTTCCATATTATCCCTTAAGCAATGGGAGCCACTGAAGAGTTCAGAGCAGCAAAGTGATGAGATAAGATTTGTGATTTAGAGTGAATGCTCTGCCTGTAGTACATGGCCAGATATCATAGATTTGATTTCAAAAGTAGCTTTTGTGTGTATAAAGTATGAACTACATGGAAATTTCCAGAAAATATGAGAACTTGTATCAGATACTTTAGTCGGGATTTCTTTAAAGCCTTGCAATATCACATACATGGAGCAATTCTTTCTAGGACAGTCAGGGTTATTATGAAGGTCTTTATGGAATGAGTCAAACTTTTCCTCATTAAACCACTGATTGCTGTTGAAGTCAAAGTGAAGTTTTAGAAGAACCACTGGTTTTCCAAGGGTTTAAAAGCAAAAGATACAGAGAATACTCTTTAATTTAACTTAATTTTGTTTTTGAGTTTGTACTTGTTTCTTTTGTCATGTCTTAAGTACATATTTCAATAGTGTAAAATAATTCTAGATTTTTCTTTCTGCCACTCCACGTAATTTATTTTCATCAATCAATGTTTCAATATGAATGAACCAAGTTGCTTAGTGGAAGAATTTTCCCCTCCTCACAATCATTCTCTCTAGTCCCGTTTGTTAGGGTAAAACTACAAATGGGTCTAGACCTGTATTCTCAAGTGTTAGTGGTAATAAATTACAGAATTTGGGATTGCCAGGCCACAAATACTATATAGTCTCAAGGGGAATAAAAAATATTGCTATTGTTTGAAGACACTAAAGAAGTCTCCCCTCTTTATGACAAAGATTAGTGTGCTCAGTTGAGTTCACATAGGTGTAACAGAACAGTAATGTTTCTCGTTGTAAGTAACTCACTAACTCAAGGAAAGATGAACTGAAATCTCACATTTAGAAATGTGTGTTCTCTAGAAGTCTTGGATTACCAAAATTGTTATTTTCCTCACAAATTAATGACTTTTTCCATGACAATTTTTAAGGTTGTGGTGGAATATTTCATTCAGATAACGGTACACTCAGATCCCCTCACTGGCCTCAGAATTTTCCTGAGAACAGCAGGTGTTCCTGGACGGTCGTGACTCACGAAAGTCAACACTTGGAGATCAGCTTTGACAACAACTTCCTAATCCCCAGCGGTGATGGACGGTGTCAGAACAGCTTTGTGAAGGTTAGTGCGCTTGTTTATTGAATTGGAGCCGAACTGGTTTCGTGAACGTATAAACGTTTAGACTAGAAATGACTCATTGCCTCTCGAAGTAGGAAAAGGGTAATTTTGTTGCTTGGATTTCTTGAATGAAAAAGTGAGAAACCTCAACTCTTGGGAGTTAAAATTTGAACCACACAGATATATTGCCCTGTGACTTTTCCTTTGCTAGTACATAGGCAAAATAATTAAGGAGATTGTTTTCTGGCCTTATTAAATTCTCATGAGCATTTATGGTTCTTCCCTTCTGTAGAAACTAAAGAGAGAAGGCCAGAATTTTTTTTGTTTGTTTTTTCTTTTCTCTCTTTTTTTTTCTAATAGATCATCAGGGACAAAATGAATATAAGGCAGCATTACAGGCAACATTTAAAGTATGCTATAAAAATTGCAGAAGGCTGGAGATGTCTCTAGTGCTAGCCTTCACCTTGGTCTTAAGAGCCACAAGCTGAAAAGACCATGAGAGACCCCTGTAAAATGATGGCACTGGGGCAGCCAGTGAGGCTCTTTCTCTAAAGGTGTGAATTCTGCTCACATATGTGGTACTGACCTCGCTTTTCGTTGACTTATGACCATGATGACTGTATTATAAATTCATTCCATCTGTGCTATTTTACATCTTATATGTTCTATCTCTAAGAGGCTATGCCTTGTAGTGGAAAGAACATCAGCCTTGAGTTCACGTTAGCCTGGACTCCATTCATGTCTTTTGCATTTAGCACCTGCATGTTCCCCTATGAGCTAATTAAACATTTGGACTTCAAATTACTCAACCATAAAATAAAGAGAACAATTCCTACTTTAGCAGGACTGTTTAAAGCATTAGAGGTAATATGATATAATAACATAAGTAGTGCTCAGTACTTGGAATATAAAACCATCTAATGAATAGAAGAGGCTTTTATTGTTGATGTTATTATTATTTTACATCACGTCTCAAATTATGTTTTATATCTAATTGATCCATGCTTACAGTTTACATAAAAATCCTGTGTGTATATAAAATGTGTAAAATAAAGCGCATTTAATATACACTTTTTCTAATTGCTATTTTCATGAAACAAATGAACTTTCTCTCCATGGACTGAGTCAACCTCAAATGTGTAGATGTAAATAAAGCCTTGCAAGTTCTTCAACTGTAAAAATGGGGTCTGAAAAATGACTTAGGCCCATTTCTCCTCTGGATCGAATGGGAGTCCCTCTGACATCAGGCAAAGCCAACACCACTAGCAGGTGGGGTCATTCGGAGCCCTGCCAAAACTAAGTGGACTGGGGAAGTGCCCTGTTTTCTGCTGGGCCTGAGACTCCTGTTTCTGCCAAGAGAGACTGAAATTGTGGGCAGACCCAGAAAGAGGGACCCAGCTACAGCAAGCAGTCTTAAACCTCACACTTTATACAAAAATTAACTCAAAATAGACCATAGACTGAAATGTAAAATATACAGCTATAAACTTTTTTTTTTTTTTTAAAGATTTTATTTATTCAGTTTTTTCCCCCCAAAGCCCCAGTAGATAGTTGTATGTCATAGGTTCACATCCTTCTAGTTGCTGTACGTGGGACTCGGCCTCGCGTTGGACGGAGAAGT